CCTGTGGGATATCTGTGTACTGACTGCATGAATGCATGAATGGATGAGTAGTGCCTCCTGCCAAGAAGGTCCTCATAGATCCTCACAGAAGCCCTAAGTCCTGTGAATGATTCATCTCTGCCTTCACCCGAGCAGCCAGTGGAAGCGACTCCTGTTAGTCCAAAATGGTCCATGAACAAAGCAAAAAAAAAAAAAAAAAAAAAAAAAGAAAGAAAAAAGGAAACATTGCTGGGAGTCCATAGGCTATTTTTAGCTGCACTTGACTCTGGCTGAACTTTGAACTATTGTCTGTTCTTCATGCCACACTCAGACTGATGGACAGACAGCTGGGCCAGTGCTCGGAGACTTCCAGGCACAGAGAAAGCCATGGGGGCATGTGATCCTGAGGTCACAGTGGGCATCTGGGCATCTGCCCCTTGGAAGCGGGAGGGAGGCCTGCAGGATCTCTGTCTCTGATGTTTCCTGGGAGGGTACAGAGAAGGGAGAACTGGACACTACTACTTTTTTTTTTTTTTTGAGACGGAGTCTTGCTCTGTTGCCCAGGCTGGAGTTCAGTGGTGTGATCTGGGCTCACTGCAACCTCCACCTCCCAGGTTCAGGCGATTCTCCTGCCTCAGCCTCCTGAGTAGCTGGGAGTACAGATGCATGCCACTAAGTCCAGCTAATTTTTTTGTATTTTTAGTAGAGACAGGGTTTCACCATGTTGGCCAGGCTGGTCTCGAACTCCTGCCTCAAGCAATCTGCCTACCTTGCCTTTCCAAAGTGCTGGGATTACAGGTATGAGCCACCACACCCTGGCTACTACATTTTAATCTGGGGATGGACTATGATGCTGTGTATTCCTCTAGTAGTTGCTGAGTACCTGGGCCAGCCCCTGAGGCTGTGATTCTGTGATTCTTGGGGGCATCTGGGACCCCATTTGTCTTTGAAAGCCTGATCTAGTGAAATAGCATTCTGAGACCTTTACAATTTTCTTCAGAAAGCAAGAGCAGGAAGGGTGAGGAAAGGCCAACAGGTTTAATCCTTCTGATGACCCTGCAAGATGCTCCATGTCAACCTTAAATAGTGAGATTCAGAAAGTAGGATTAAGTATAGAGTTTATTTGAGCTCAGAACTTGAGGATGGCCACCAGGGAGCATGGATGCAAGTTACTCTGAATATACACTCCGATGAGCTGCAGTGACTGGGCTTTTAAGGCGTCGGGGGAAAGAGGCAGTTTCTAAGTCTTTTACCAAAAATTTATATAAAATTAAGCCACTGGCTGGGCGCAGTGGCTTATGCCTATAATCCCAGCACTTTGGGAGGCTGAGGCAGGTGGATCACTTGAGGTCTGGAGTTCGAACCCCATCTCTACTAAAAATACAAAAAATGAGTTGGGCGTGGTGGTGGGCACCTGTCATCCCAGCTACTCTGGAGGCTGAGGCAGGAGGATCACTTGAACCCGGGAGGCGGAGGTTGCCATGAGCTGAGATCCCGCCGCTGCACTCCAGCCTGGGCTACAGAGCGAGACTCTGATTCAAAAAAAACACGTAAGCTACTTAATGGTCATGCATTGTTCTTTGTGTGACACTTTCGAGGATCAGGAAGATAATGGATGAGCAGCTAGTCAGAAACAAAAGGCCTTGAAATAATTGCCACCGGGCCTGCATGCAAAGGGCATGACTCAGGTCCAGTATTCATGTCTCTCTGGCGCTGAAACGTTTTGCATACTTCACATCGCTCACACTGCTCTGAGCTATTTTTCTCTTTTCAATAGTACTGTCCCCATTTTCCAGGTGAGGAAACAGAGACTCCTTCTAAGAATGCACTGAGGTCACGGGGCAGGTGTGAGCTTTGTTTTCAGATTTGTCTGCTTCTGAGACCTGTGCTTTTTCTGTCTACCAGGAACTGGACTCCCAGGCAGGGCTGGAACAGACTCATTAGTTATTTAGAGTCGAGCTTCTCGGGTGCAAGAGTTGATGGTGATATCTGGCTCACCAGCTTTGGTGGGTGTGGTGCTGTTGAGGCCCCGAAGTGTGGCTGGAATGCATGGTCAGGAGCTCAGCTGGGGTCCCTATCAGAAGCTTCCAGATGGTCCCAGGGGATTGGCACAGCCTTGCCCCTTCCTGAAGGACTGTGGAGACTCGTGGCTGCCTCTCCATTCTCCCCGTGACAGTAGGTGGAAGAGGGCAGTGAAGATTTTATTTATCGTTATCAGATCTCCATAGTAACCCCATGAGGGGGTGTCAGCATTTTACAGAGGGAAACTGACTTCAAGACAAGTGACTTGCACGAGGTCACACAGCTAGTGGGAGGTGGGGTGGGGGTGGGGGGTGCAGGGTGGAGGTCGGTGGGGAGGGGACGGAAGGGCCCATGTGCTCACGTTGCTGGAGACAGAGTAGGGGTGGGAGTGCTGAGCTGCCACCCAGGGTGGAGGTCAGTGGGGACGGGAGGGAAGGGCCCATGTGCTCACCGTTCCTGCCAGGATCCTGATGGCCCAGCCCCTGCCCCTACCTCTCCCTCTGCCTCAACCATGCAGGCCCTTCATCCCGTCCTTCTGCCTCATTCTAGCTGGGTTGCTCTTCCCAGCTCCTCTCAAGCCTCCTTTGGGTCTGTGTCAGGGTCACCTCCTGAGAGAGGCCTTCCCTGGCCACCCTGGCTGAAGCAGCCCCCTGCTCCCTCTTCTTTACTCATTGCCATGCTCACCATCGGCGGTTACCTTGCCTATTTCGTGACCAGGGTCGTCACTGAAGGTCACCTGCCTGCAGCCAGAGGCCTCGCTCTTTCTGTCACTGCTTCATCTCCAGGGTTTGAGACGGCACCAGAGACCCGGCAGGTCCTCAGTCAACCTTGTTGAATGAACAAAGGACCTGCTCACACTGCTTGGGTTTTATCTCCTCCAGTCCTCCTGGGCTGCGTCTTTCAGCCCCAGACTCCTTCTGGCCCTCGACACTCACAGTCAGGCCACTCTGCCTCCCATAGGACAAAAAGCAACCTCAGAATGCCAGCCTCAGGCCACGCTCCTGAGACCGTGATCAGATGAGACACAACAAGCCCTCTTCCTGATTTTTTTTTTTCCTTGAGACAGAGTCTCACTCTTGTCTTCAAGCCTGGAGTGCAGTGGCGTGATCTCAGCTCACTGCAACCTCCTCCTCCTGGGTTCAAGCAATTCTCCTGTCTCAGCCACCTAAGTAGCCGGGAGTATAGGAGCGCGCCACTGCACCCAGCTAATATTTGTATTTTTGGTAAAGACAGCGTTTCACCATATTGGCCCAGCTGGTCTCGAACTCCTGACCTCAAGTAATCTGACTGCCTTGACTACCCAAAGTTCTGGGATTAGAGGCCTGAGCCACCGTGCCCAGCCTCTTCTTCGTGATTTTTGTCTAAGCGTGGACAAAAACAAGGTCTCTGTGCCGCCCACAAACACCAGACATCTTGCTCAATGTTACTTTTTTTCCCAGGCAGCCTCACTCCCACTTTCTGACAGCAGCCAATCCAGAGCTGACCCTGGCTTCCTTAAACCCTCCCCACGTCACCCCGCCAAAGCTCACGTCCTATCACAGGTTTCCTAACAGCATCCTACCGAGACGTCCCGTGGTTCCTCATGCTGTGTGTTTTCCTTCACTGCGCTGACCAGTGAACCCCACCTGTGTACCTCCAGCTGTTCCTGGTTGTCTGGGGCCATTGACACCAGGGAGAGATGCTGTCTGAGCCTCCTGGACTCAAGCGCAGGCTTCTCCTGCTCTTGATCTTGAACTAGTCATTTTCCTTTCAGAACCTACAGGATCTTATTTCTCTAGAGCGTGGCTGGTGAGGCCCATCCAATGCCACAGTAGATGGGAAGTTTGTCAATTTCAAATGCCCTGGGGGCATTAGGTGACTTTGTCATCATATTCTCATTTATAGAGGGGGAAACGGGCCTGAAGAGGAAGTTGCACAGCTGGGAGGTGGCAGAGCTCAGGCTCCAGCTCTGGAATGACTGACCCTAGTGTCCTGGCTTTGAGCCACCTGACTTCCCAACTTGTGACCCTCAGATGTGGTAGGGGGTGTGGTCACTAGTCAATGAGGTTAGAGGATTTGAACAAGGAGTTCTGGAGGCTCAGTGTGCTGGAATCAGGCCCCTCACCCCCAGGGCCAGCCCTCCCGGCGCTGTGAGCTGAGCTCAGGGCAGCCCTCCAAATTCTTGGTCCACATCTTGGACATTCCTGCCCACCCGGAGCTCTCAGCCCTTTGTGCCAAGGGGATCTCAGCTGGTTTGCATTCTGAGGAGACTGTGCTCTGGAATGTGCTGCCTTTTCAGCTTAGAGAGAGAAGGAACTTGGGTCTGTTTGGGATAAAGGCTGTCTTGTGGGGGAAGAAAGGGAGAGTAACGCTCTGCGTGTGCGTAATACTTAAACGTGGCTTTGCATCTGTGCGTTTAAACGTCAAACAATCACGTGAGTTCGATGTGATTATTCTTACTTGATAGATGTAGAAACGTGCTCAGAGGAGGCAAGTCACAGGCCCAAGGACACAAATCGCGGGACTGGGACTCGAACCTTGGGTTGTGGACCCCAAGGTGGGTTTTTATTGTGTTGTTTTGAGATGGAGTTTTTCGCTCTGTCACCCTGGCTGGAGTGCAGTGGCACAATCTCGGTTCGCTGCAACTTCTGCCTCCTGGGTTCAAGCGATTCTCCTGCCTCAGCCTCCTGAGTAGCTGGGACTACAAGCACATGCTACCATGCCTGGCTAATGTTTTAAATATTTTTAATAGAGAGGAGATTTTACCCTGTTGGCCAGGCTGGTCTCGAACTCCTGACCTCAAGTGATTTGCCAGCTTCGGTCTCCCAAAGTGCTGGGATTATAGGCGTGAGCCACCGCGCCCAGCCAAAGGTGGGTCTTAGACCCCCAATTTCTAGTTGCATTAGATTCCAGGCTCTGGGTGCCCACCTGGGACCCGCTGTTGGAGGCAGAGGGGCTGGGGTCTGGTGGCGGAGCTGCTGTTGACCTCTCTGCCTTTGTCCCCTGCCCTTGTGTCCTAGGCTGCGGCGGAAGCACATCTCTTCCCTGAAAGTGGCCAACGAGCCCATCTTAGCCTTCACGAAGGGCAGCCCTGAGCGAGATGCTCTGCAAAAGGTAACGGGAGGGTGGGGGCACCCGAGAGGCGCAGGGCGTGCAGCAGAGGCCGCCCAGCAGCCTTGAGATAGCTCTCCACGCCTGCAGCCAGCACCCGCTTCTACCCTTGCTCCCAGCCTTGGGGGGATGCCTGGGAGGGCTGTGGGTCTGGAATGTGGAGACAGCTGGGAGGAGCAGGGTGGCAGCCTGGAGCTACTTTGGGGCTTCTCAGACCAGGTCAGATGTCATATGTTTTCTACTTAAAGATATTTTCCAGTTAATTGCCAGCAATTTTTATTTTATTTTATTTTATTTTTTTGAGCCCTGCCCGCTCTTATCACCCAGGCTGGAATGCAGTGGTATCATCTCAGCTCACTACAACCTCTGCCTCCCGGGTTTAAGCTGTTCTGCTGCCCCAGCTTCCTGTGCAGCTGGAATTACAGGCGCCCACCACCATGCCTGACTCATTTTTGTACTTTTTCAGTAGAGACGGGATTTCGCCATATTGGCCAGACTAGTCTCGAACTCCTGACCGCAGGTGATCCACCTGACTCAGTCTCCCAAAGTGCTGATATTACAGGCGTGAGCCACCCCGCACAGCCCAATTGCCAGGATTTTAAAGATCATGAGATTTCACATAAGTTTCAGATGCAGTTTTTAAAAATCTCTGTGTAATGGGTAGACTTCACTTTCCTGCAGGGTGACAATGGCTGGAACAGAGTCCTGCTGCCCTCTGAAGGGAGCGCACACTCTCTGGTGGCCACAGACCCAGCCTGGCCCCCTTCTCATTTCTGTGTCTGCCTGGGCATCTCTGCCTGTGGACTCTGCATTAGGGTTTTAGACAGGAGGAAGAGAGGAAGGTGGTGACCATACCTGCTCTCGTCCCTCTCCCCAGGCCTTGAAGGACCTGAAGGGCCGGACGGAAGCCATCCCATGCGTGGTGGGGGATGAGGAGGTGTGGACGTCAGATGTGCAGTACCAGGTGTCGGTATGTCCAGCGGGCGGGCAGGGCTCAGCCCCTCCCTCGAATATGTGACCTCTTTCTCTGACAGCTCATAAGCTTAGAATGTGTGAGTTCTGACTTCAGGGCCATTAGAGTACCCCTCCCCACCCTAGATTTTGAATTCTGTGGACCAGTAAAGCTTCCCAAAGCAAAGAATGGCACCCACACTGCACCCAGCCCATAGTGGAGTCCTGTGCCTGGGCCAGGAAGAACATGAGGGGTTCACGCAGCATCTGCCATTATTCCTCATAGATTTCTTGCCAAGGGGGTTTGGGAGCTAATGGCAAAAAGCTGGGTCCCAGGCCCCGAGCTCCTCAGATGACATTGGTCTCAGAAGCCCTCTGCTTGGAGTTTATCCGTTTAGAAACTGGGGTACATTTTACATGGGCCAGAAACTCATAGGTCTGTGATTTGAGGGAGAGTAAAAGGTTGGCCCTTTTGCAAACAGGGCAAGCACATTTGGGCTCTGTCCGGCTGGAACCCTGGGCAGGTGTGTGCAGAGAGGGGTGACTGAGGCGGGGGACCCAGCCCCCCCGACTCTGAGGGTTCCCAGGGCAGCCAGGGGCAGGAGTTGAGCACAGAGGTGTCCTGGAACTCTTGTTGCTGGGTCAGGACTTCCTGGAGCTGTCTAAGCATTCCTGGGGGCTACAGGCACCGGCCAGGTCACTCTGTCTGCACTGGGTGTGTGCAGGTGCCAACTGACAGCAGCTGCCACCACCCCGCTCGCTGGTGGTCTGTGTGACTGCCTGGAGCCTGCCCTCACCTGCAGCCCCCCAGGCCTCCGAGGCTGCATGGCAGCTGGGATTTTTCCTCCGGCATTCTGTCAAGCCCCTGGGTGGATACTACTGGTTTTCATTTCCCACACTGCCTCGCCGACCTGGCTTGAGGTTCTGGCCATGTGCTGATCACTGTGGCACCAGACGTGGGGGCATTGGCCTCATGAGGGCAGGATCTGTGTTTGCAGGGACATAGCACTGATGAGGAGTTATCTGCGGTCCACTGGGGCCCGGGTCCCAGCCACCTTCTCGGCCCCTGAGCATCACAGGCCAATCTCAGGTATGAGCAGAAAACAGGGTGACTGTGCCAAGGTTTGACACGAAGGGGAACGGCCACTTTCTACCCAAGTCTAGAACAGCGCTAGCCGGTGGAATTTCCTCCAGTGATGATGGAAACATTCCAGATCTGCATTGTCCGTTCCAGAGGCCACCAGCCACGTGTGGTTGTCAGCACATGAAATGTGGCTCGCGGCTATTGTGTTAGACACGAAAGCTCTGATAACCCACTGGAAGACCGATAGGTAGCAAAAGGGTTAGCCGTTAGGATGGAAACTGTGTTACCAGCCTTGGGAAGGAAAGAAGTGAAATTTCTCCCTGCTTCATTGGTCATGCTAGCTTTACCACTGCCAGGCGTTAGGTTTCGAAGGGAAGGCGCGGGTTCAAGAAGGACACACAGGGAGAGGGCAGCTGAAACAGCAATGTAGGTATATTGCAGAAACCTGAGGATGTGGGGCCCAGCTTCATAGCAGAGCCCTCTACTGCTTACAGGCTGGGGTACTTACAGGTGGGCGGGAAGGGTCTGGTGTGGGTAGCATGGCTTGCTGGCTGGCAGGATGTTGATAAGATGTTCTTATGATCAGGTGGTTTGGCCCCTTCTCCAGTGGGATATCATTGTGGTATTCCTTGGACCTTTTCCCAGCAAGATATAATAAGGATGTTGTCTTTTTTTTTTTTTTTTTTAATTTGAGACGGATTTTCATCAGTGTCGCTCAGGCTGGAGTGCAGTGACGCTGTCTTGGCTCACTGCAACCTCCGCCTCCCGGGTTTAAGCGATTCTCCTGCCTCGGCCTCCCGATTAGCTGGGACTACAGGCGCATGCCACCACACCTGGCTAATTTTTTATTTTTAGTAGAGACAGGGTTTCACCATGTTGTCCAAGATGGTCTCGATCTCCTGGCCTCAGACCTCTGGTGATACACTTTGCCTCCCAAAATGTTGGGATTACAGGCACGAGCCACCACACCCAGCCAGGATGTTTCTTTAGGTGGGCATTTGTCTGCCTTGTGGTAGGGTGGCTAGGCAGGCTGTTTCTCATGGCCTGAGTTCCCGTGAAATGTTTCACTTCCACCAAGGTCTACAAAATAGTGGGGAGCTTACAACATGGTACAGTTTGGACCAATACCAGGATCTGTTTGTAAAAGTTTGCTGAGGATCTTCCCATTTAGATAAGTAAATCTGGGGCTCAGGAAGCAACTGGTCTGTCAGTAATGGCTTCGGGGCAGGGCAGAAGTCCCGGGCATTTCACAACACTGACGCATTCCTTTGGGCCTCACATGGTGAAGGTGCCCATGATTGTAGCCTCATGCTGGACAAAAACATTTTCACTCATGATCCCCTTTGGTTCTCCTGTCTGTGCTGAGAGATAGGGAGGGCAGTCCCCATTTCTTAGATGAGGAGACTTGGGGAAGGAAGTGAGTTGACGTGGGGCCCCACAGCTGGTAGGTGGCAGACCCAGGATTTGAACTCATGCCTCTGACCACAAAGGTCTGTGCTTTCCTTGAAAGACCCCATGGTCTATGCCTTTATCCTGGACCGTGAGGCTTCTGGAGAAGGAGCCGTGTCTTACTCATGGTACAGCGGGTCTACCAGCACCCTGAACAGGGAGCCACCTGTGGGCCAGGTACTGGGGAGGGCCTCATGGGAGCAGTTGGGGAGAGAGGTATGTCCAGGACTTCCCTGGAAAACCAGCTCCAAGCCCCACCCTCTCCATCTTTATCCTGGCACCTCCCTCCTGGGCAGGGACCTCACTATTCTTTCCTTTCAGCCTTTTAACCATGGACACAAGGTGGCCAAGTTCTGTTATGCAGACAAGGTGAGTGAGCCCCTGATGACCCGGTGGTTGGGGTTGCTGCCCCTACCCTGCCCTGCCCTGTCAGCTGCTGATAGGGGCTGGGCATCTGTCGTTGTGTCCTTTGGCCATGGTGGGTAGGCGGGCAGGGGGTGGCTGGCCCCAAGGGAGTCCCTGGGTGATGACTTTGACTGGGCTAGGCTTGCAAAAGTTAACTTGAGCCAAGTGCACCCTGCCTCCCCCAGGGCTGAGATATTCCCCAACATTCCCATTGTGGTGGGGCAGACCTTGGATTGGGGAGGAGTGGATTCTGGAAGGCTGAGTCAGGGCAATTGGAGACACCATCGATGGAAAGCCAGAGAGAATTGGCACTGGAAAGGGCCAGCCGGAGGGATGAGGGTGCTCGGGGGGCCGGAGGTCTGGGAGCTAGCACTGTGTGGTGATGAGGGCACTGGGGTCTGGGAGGCCAGCAGCAGAGCCGTGTTTTGGGCTCCCATTGACCTCAAGTTTCTGGATGGTGGGTTCAAGGGCACCAGGTCCCAAGAATAAGGTAAGACCACAAGAGAAAGTAGAGCCAGTGTAACAGCTGCGGGGCTCAGTGCCAAGACCTTGGAGAGCCAACCAACCTGGCAGGGCCCTTCGGGCTTCAGACTGGCAGTAGGACAGGCTCTGAGGGGATACTGTGTTGGCAGCTGTGGTGGTAGGGGGCTGAGGGCCCAGGGAGACAGGCATTGTCCCCAGGTGGAAGAGAGTGGCCTTCCAGGTCTCTCCTCCCTCGCTCACTCCCCAGGGCCCTTCCCGCTGCAGGCGGCAGCCCCAACCTCTCCCTCGCCCTTTAGGGCTTGCTCAACAAAGCCATCGAGGCTGCCTTGGCTGCCCGGAAAGAGTGGGACCTGAAGCCTATCGCAGACCGGGCCCAGATCTTCCTGAAGGCGGCAGACCTGCTGAGTGGGCCGCGCAGAGCCGAGATCCTGGCCAAGACCATGGTGGGACAGGTGAGGCCTGGCGGGGTGGGGTGGGGTGGGAGTCAGTCAGACTCCATCCCTGGCAGCCGACATCTGCTGAAGCACTTCTGGGTACCAAGCCCTGTGGGGGACCCAGAGATGTCTTCAAGGGACAAGGCCTAGGAACAGGGATGGATGGTCACCAATCATTAGGCGAGACAGATTGTGCAGAGCCCGCGTGGCCTGCCTTGGAAATGTGCCCTCTCCTCCATCCCTCGGCCCTCGCTCCTAGGGCTTCGCCATGCTTTGCCCGGACTGTCAGGGGCCTGCACTGTCTCCCTGGCTCCCAGCTTGGTCAGCCCCCTGTGGCCTCAGAGTGGTCTTTTCAACACCTCCAGGATGTTACTCCCAGCTTACAACCCACCCAGACCTCTCCACCACTGAGAGGCAAGTCCCAAGACCTTAGCCGCATAGCCGGAGCCCTTCTGCCCATGTCTGTCCAGCTTGCCAACTGCTCTGCCTGTTCCTGCCACGCTGTTCCACCCATGCTGTAGCCATTTTGGACTTAGCAGGACTCCCTGGCCACGGCAGGCTCCTCACTGCCTCTGCCCACTGTGTCCTCCTGCCTGGAATGCTTGCTGTGTCTTCCGTGCTTGGTGAACTCTTCTCTCCTGGTCCAGCCCAGATGCGCCCCCACTGAGCCTCCTCCAGCCGAAAGGACTAGTCCTGCCCGTTTCCCCAAAGCATGTTGTTTCTGCATCAGTTACAGCTCAGATTGCACTGGGGTGTATTCAGTTCCTAGGTACTGCCGCTTTACAAGCTTCTTGGACATTCTCAGTCTTTTTTTTCTTTTGAGGCAGAGTTTCAGTTTGTCACCCAGGCTGGAGTGCAGCGGTGTGATCTCGGCTCTTTGCAAACTCTGCCTCCCAGATTCAATTGATTCTCCTGCCTCAGCCTCCCGAGTAGTTGGGATTACAGGCGCCCGCCACCATGCCTGACTGTTTTTTGTGTTTTCAGTAGAGACAGGGTTTTACCATGTTGGCCAGGCTGGTCTCGAACTCCTGACCTCGTGATCCACCTGCCTTGCAGGCGTGAGCCACTGCGCCCAGCCGACATTCTCAGTCGTTTCCTGGGTTCTGCATGATCCCTTTCAGGAGTCATAGCAAGTCCCCGATAAATGGTTTTCTCTGCACGGAGCTGGTATGACAACTCCTCACCCTGCTAAATACAAGTGAAGTGAGGAGTCGCTCTAGCAGGCAGAGTGCATGGGGAACAGGAGCTGCGGGAGACAGAGTTATTTTCCACCTCCAGGACCTGAGCCCTCTGCTGCCAGCTAACCTGGGTTCCTCAAGGGTCAGTTGCAGGAGCCAGAACCTAAGCTGCTTTTTGGATCGGGCATTTGCCACTGCCCGCTCCCCGGTCCCCGTGGTGAGCACCCCCTCTGCTGCACAGAGCTGGTATGACAGCCCCTCATCCTGCTGAATGCCTCCTTAGATGGGCTCAGCAGCCATCTGAAGTGGGCGTCCGGCCCTGTGTGTTCCGGGTGAGCTGCACATGGGTGGGAAGACACTCACAGACACGGTAGGGCCAGTTTAGGCTCTCTCTGTATTTGGGCTAAGATTCAAAAACTTCCAGGAAGCACGGTACATAGCTTAGCTTCCTGGGCTACGTGTCTCTAATAGGTCGTGTACCTGCCCGTGACCTTGGGTGCCAAGTCGGGGGCCACCTCAATCTGGAAAAGCCGTGTTCTTGGCTGTCCACGGTCCCTTTCCCTGTAGCTCACATTTGCCATCAGTAAGAATGGATGGTTTAAGGGAATCACAGTCACCCGCCTCTTGGTTTTTGACCCAAACTAACCAGCAAGGCCGAACATCGTTCCTGGGGAAGGAGCCGTCTGCCTCCCACACTCCGAGTCTCTGTCCCGGTCAGCGGCCAGACTCCAGCTCATGCTAGTCTGCTTTTCTGCCTGGAAGGCTCTGATCCTGAATTTGGTCTGAGGCTTGATCGTAGATCCTTTCCCCTGCACCACCGTTCAGAGCTGCAATGAAGCGAAGACCGTGCATGGCCTGCTACAGAGGACCAGTACATTCTGCTGATCCCCGTCCAGCCCTGAGCGCCGGCTGCAGGAGGTGCTGGCTCAGGGGTTTGAGAATCCTTTCTCCCTCAGCCTCTGGGATGGGACCTGGTCAGCCCTGCAAAAGTTTCCTGGTCCCTGCTGGGGCCCGGCTCAGTGCTTGCTCTGGGCACAGGGTCAGATGTGGGAAGAGGATGGACGGGAGGCTGTTGGCTGTTCCTGACCCCTGGCCCCCTGCCTTGCAGGGTAAGACCGTGATCCAGGCGGAGATCGACGCTGCAGCAGAACTCATCGACTTCTTCCGGTTCAATGCCAAGTTTGCAATGGAGCTGGAGGGGGAGCAGCCTCTCAGCGTGCCCCCGAGCACCAATAGCACAGTCTACCGGGGGCTGGAGGTACCTGCAGGAGGCGATGGGTGGGCAGGCAGGGCAGCCCAATGCCATGGGCCTGGCCTCACCAATGCCTCCTTCCCCAGGGCTTTGTGGCAGCCATCTCGCCCTTCAACTTCACGGCGATCGGCGGCAACCTGGCAGGGGCCCCAGCCCTGATGGTGAGATGTGGGCACCGGTGGGACAGCGGCAGCTGATTGTCCTCCTGGTCCTGACAGACAGGGAAAGGCCACCTGAAGCCCTTTGAGTCTCAGCCTAGTCATGGGGAGAGGCACAGAAGGTGGAGGCAGCTTGGGTCTGTGGGTCGGCTTTGGGACCAGAGACCCAGTTTGAATCCTGGCGTCGTCACTCTGTGCCTGGGAAACCCTGGCAATCCCTGAACTTCTCTGAGGCAGTTTCCTCATCTGCAAAGTGGAAGTGATAGGAAAGTCTCCATGGCTGGGCTGGGAGGCTCAAAGGAGACAATCCAGCAGCAGGCAGGGCTGGGCCCGAGCTGGCAGAGGGGTGGCCTCCCTGTTGATGATAACAGTTACCGTTCACCTTCTGTGCTCACCGCGTGCCTGCGGCTGTCAAGCAGGGATGGAGCGGATCCGTTTCCTCCTCTCACTGGCTCCGAGAGGGAGCTGTGACTCTGCCTCTTTGCCAGATTACAAAACTGAGACACACAGCCGTGACTAACTTGGCAAGACCAGGTGACTCGTAAATAAATGATGGAGCAGAGGAGGATTTGGATCTAGTCTCTCTCCGGGTTGGTGGTGTTCAAGGCACTCTTCTGCCGTTATCCGAGTGATGGCGGCTGTTACCGGATGCGGTTCCAGGCCTGGGGGGAGATACAGCTCAGCTCCCAGGCAGCCTGGGCGGGAGAGGGCCACATAGCTGTCAGGAACCCTGAGCCCCAGACGGGGCTGCTGGATGCTGATGCCGGGGTGAGTACTAGGGATAGGCAGGGGCACAGACAAACATGGGACATGGCCAGGCACCCACACGCCCTGACCCAGGACACGTGCTGAGAGCCCGTGTGCACTTGCCCCGCGGTACCCAGTGAGCACGCAGTGACTCCAGCACGAAGAACAGACCTGCCCAGGTGACGGCAGGACCCGTCGGTACAGGCTTCTGGGGAAAGGGAGCCTTGGCCAGAGCGTGGGGCAGACGGGGCCATGCCGTGGCCTCCCTGGCAGGGACTTTTGGATACCGGGCCAGACACTTTGGAGGAGTGGGGTCGGGTAGAGGATGTCCTGGTTGGCACAGGGTCTGGTGGTTCCAGGTGAGGGCTGACCATGCTGTAGGGTGGGGTGGGGGTTGAGGGCTGGTGGCGCCATTTTCACGCGCTAAAACACCTCCCGGGCAGGGCAACGTGGTCCTGTGGAAGCCCAGTGACACCGCCATGCTGGCCAGCTATGCTGTCTACCGCGTCCTCCGGGAGGCCGGCCTGCCCCCCAACATCATCCAGTTTGTGCCAGCTGATGGACCTCTATTTGGGGACACTGTCACCAGCTCAGAGCACCTCTGTGGCATCAACTTCACAGGCAGTGTGCCGTAAGTCCCTGGGGATAGTGTGGGCTGGGGTGGCTAGGGGAGGTTCAAGGGCAACCCTGGTTGCCTATCTGCCTGGGGGTGGGGCTGTGAACCCAGGGGTCATGCACTGACCCTACTCCCCGACTTGCTGTGTGGCAGTGAGTGAGTCCCTTCATCTCTCTGAGCTTCCATTTCTTCACCTGTACAGGGAGTGATTATCCTTAATTTGCAGAGTCATTGCAAGGATTAAACATGTTAATGAACAGGAAAGAGCTTGGAAGGCTGGAACTGTACCCTGCAGCTGTGGGTGATATTGATTTCAGTGCTACCTCTGCTACTGGAAAGGGCACAGGGGAGCATAGAATGAATTGGAGGAGCCAGGAAGCCTTCTTGGAAGAGGTGGCATCTAACAGAGGAGTTGGCCAGGCAGAGGGGAAGGAGAGGGAATGGTACCTACAACATCATCAAGGCAAAAACGTGCTCTGGGGCATGGCAGGATCCTGTGTGGCTGGAGCGTGGAGTCTGGGGGCCACAGGGCCAGAGGGTGAGGGCGGGGCATGGTTGGAGTTGAGGTGGGGAGGCAGGTGGCTACCTGATCTCCACCGTCCATGCACTGACTGGCTGAGCAGGTATTTTTGCAGCTCACAAGAAGGCTCAGGGGTGAGCACACACCAGATGCAAGGTCCTGGCTCTCAGGCTGGAGGTGGCAGTGGGGGGTTAGTCCAGTGACCATAAGATCCTCAGGAGTCTGCGAAGGTGCCTGGCCTTTCTCCTGAAGGTGATGGGAGCCGTGGAAGGTTTCAAGCAGGGAGAGTGGCTGAGTCAGAGTTCTGTCAGGCAGAGATCAGAAATGACGGCCCCCAAATTGGATCTGGCAAGAGGCTCTATTTTCTTTGATCCCTGATAGTGATGGCCCAACTTTGTATAATTGGGACAGTTTCATAGGTAAATCCAAATGTTGGCCTGTCTTGGTTGCCTGGACTCAGATGCTCTGATCTTGCATTTGCTGGGAGTTCTGCTGGCTGGAGGTGGGTGGGTGCGCCCTGGCTGCCTGCGTATCGGATCTGCCCTTTGTCCTTTCCCTGCTGGCCCCTCTGGGCCCCTGTGTTTGCACCCTCGTCTTTGATGATCTCTGTGACCTGAAGCAGGAGACCGGCCAGGAGCTGTCAATCTCTAGGGAGGGGAGGTGGGGGGATGTGGAGAAGGGGCAGGTTCGGGTGAGAAGGACGCAGGGAGGCACACTGGCGGTTGCCTGCCCTGGAGTTGGGGTGGTGATGAGGGGGGTAGTCAGTGAGAACGTCCAAGGTGGGCACCTTGGAGGGCGAGCAGGCTGGGGGGAAGGTGAATGCCATGTTGGTCACTTTGTGAGATGCCCGGGTGTTATCTGGGTGGAGATGCCTGGAGGCAGCCAGAGGCCCAGGTCTACAGCGAGGGATCCCTCTCACCTCCTCTCCCGGGCCCCAGGCTCTGCCACCCCCTTCCCTGAAGCTTCACCTGGGGGAGGGAGGGTGGGCTGGTGGCAGCGTTAGAATTGCTGAGAAGGGCCGTTTTCCAAAAGGCCTCTTCTGCCAGCCTCAGGGGCCCCTGGGCTCCCCATTCTCCATGCTCTGATGAGCAGCCGGCTTAAAGGTGGGAAGGCCATAAATTAGTATTAGCTGCTGTGTCGCTGGCTCCCGGGTGATTAGCATTTTTATTGTTTTGTGGTGCTGAGGTTGGTCACACTTGGAGCCTGGGGAGGAGGCGAGGCCCTCCTGTGGCAGCGTGGATGGGGCCTGCGCTCCCTCTCCCAGCCCTCTCTCTGCATCTGGCCTCTCAGGCCTGGGCGCTGGGCTGGTGGGGGGGGGGAGTCCTTCGCAGACCAGAGCAGGGTCTGTTCCCTGCCAGGCTCCTGCAGTGTGCCCAGCATGTCTTAAGCACTGGCCTCACACTTGAACTCATCACAAAACAACCCTGCCGGGTCGGGATTGTTCTCTCTGCTTCCCAGATGAGGTGCAGAATTAGAGGCTCAGAGAGGTTACACAGGGAACCCAGGATCACACAGCCCTGAGTGTCCTCCTGGCTGCAGAGTGTGCACCTGCCCAGACCCCCTTTGCCCCTCCCTAGAGTAGTCTTGGAATGCAGTCTGTTCTCAGCTGTCACCCACGCTTGGCTCCCACCTCCTGCTGGGCTGCTGCCCCCACCCCCGAGCTCCTCCCTGGGTTTTTCAGCCCTCTTCCTCTGGCCTGGCTCCCTGACCCCCGTCCTTTCTCCTGTGGTTCCAGCACCTTCAAACACCTGTGGAAGCAGGTGGCCCAGAACCTGGACAGGTACCGCACCTTCCCACGCCTGGCCGGAGGTAAGCCCCCTTCACCCCCACTCCCCTGTGACCCGAGGGACCCCTCCTCTGCCTATCACTAAAGAGGAGGGAGGTAGAGGGGACACAGCCAGGAGTCGGAGAGATGAACCATTTCAGCCACCAGCACTCCCCAGTAGAACTTCCTGTGATAAGGGAAGTGTCCAGTACCTTCACTTTTCAATACGCAGCCACCAGCCACATGTGGCCGTTGAGCCCTTGAGGGGTGGCCTGTGTGACTGAGGAACTGCAGGTCTAGTTTTGTTTCATTTTAATGAAGTTAAATCTTAGTAGCCACTCGTGGCTGGTGGCTGCTGTGTCGGGCAGTGTAGCTCCAAGCTAAGGAAAGTGCAGATGCAGAGACCAGAAGTGGGAATGAACTTGGATTTGAAGAATCAAGGCCAGGCCCGTGAGTGGGGAGGGAGGAGGGCTGGTAGAAGATGGGCAGAGAGGTAGGCAGGGCTGGACCTTGTTGCCATATTAAAATTTTCCCACAGAGAAACAGTTTCATGGTCAAGGACATTTGGCATGTGTGGTGTTAAAGCAAAGTGGATTCCTCCCCCTGCAGGACTTCTCAGAGCCTTTAATGCTCTAATATGCGTTGCACATCCCTCTCTGCCATGCAGTGTTTTCCACACTCACTGAGACACAGAAGCCCGTTTCTGCAAAGACCCCAATGGACCACGTGTTTTGTGGACCACATTTTGGGACTGTGCTGAGACCTAGAGGCAGGGAGGGCTATGGGATGTGACCAGCAGAGCTGGGACGTGCGCTTCAGCCTTTTTCCCTGTGGGGTGAAGTGGGGTCCACCGGGAAGTCTGGATCCTGTGTCTGGACTGGTGGGAGCACAGATGGGGGTGTCAGGGAAGGCGAGCGCTCCTCAGGGTCAGCCGTGTTACCACTTCCCAACCTGGAGCAGGTGACTTCATCTCGCCGCCTCAGTTTTCTTGGCTTTAAATTGGGGGTAGTAATGGGAGGTTGTTGTGAGGCTTCAGTCGGACAAAGCGCAGGGTACTCCGTCCACAGCTGGGCAGCTGGTAAGTGCTTCCAGCTGCTGTTAGCTGCTGCTTCCCACGGGGAAAGGAAACTGAGGCCAGGAGGGTGAAGTGACCTGCCTGAAGCTCCCTCCCATTGGGGAAATGGGGGAGTGGTTTTCGCCGTGGGTGGGGAGGAGGGGCCCAGCCCTGGCAGCCTAAATGGGGTGGGCTCCTCTCTCCTTTGTAGGTGAGGGCTCTGGAGAACCCCACAAAAAGCTGTGCCCACTTCTGGGAATGGACTGGCTCTTGGGAGCCTTGGGTTCTCATCCGTCCTCTGCCTTTACGTTGGGTAGTTTTGGTTTTCCCCTCTGTGTAATGGGGCAGTTGGACCTGATCACCTCTGATGCGCTTCACCCCTCCCTGGTCTCAGTTTCCTCATCTGCGGAATGGGAGAACGGCCTGGCCTCGGGTCTCCAGGGTGTCAGCCGGAGCTCACTCTGAGCCTCCTCCGTCTCTGGTCTGCTCCATGCTAGGGCTGGTCCCGGGCCACGGATGGCGCAGGTGGTGCTTTGGGCCCCTGGGCAGCTGGGGGAGCCGGCTCCCCTGGTCATTTCCCCACCCCTGGCCCCTGTAGAGTGTGGCGGGAAGAACTTCCACTTCGTGCACCGCTCGGCGGATGTGGACAGCGTGGTGAGCGGGACCCTGCGCTCAGCCTTCGAGTACGGCGGCCAGAAGTGCTCCGCCTGCTCGCGCCTCTACGTGCCACACTCGCTGTGGCCGCAGATCAAAAGGCGGCTGCTGGAGGAGCACGGCCGGATCAAAGTGGGCGACGTGAGTGGCGCCGTCACCCCCCGCCGTGGCCCAGCGGGGGGCTGATGGGATTGGGTCCCCGGGAGGCTCTTCTGCAGCCACGGCTGGGGTGTGCGGGGAGGGGGCTCCCTTTGTCTCGGCCTGCAGCGACTCATCTCTTCTGGCACCTCCCTTGCCTCCAGCCTGCAGAGGATTTTGGAACCTTCTTCTCTGCAGTGATTGATGCCAAGGTACTGGGTGGGAAGGGGGCGTTCCTGGCAGGGGGCAAGCCCCGGACTGGGTGGGAGAGGGACGAAGAGATATGGGGGACCCTGACCCAGGGGATGACCCAGCCCCACTGCTTTGATCAAGGCAGCTCAGCAGCCACACATGCACGCCCAGCTTCTGAAAGGGCAGGCTCAGCCATAGCCAGAGAAGAGCTCGTCTCCTGCCCTCCCCGGAAGCAGGCTCAGTGAGCTCCTCAGGGCATTGTGTGTGCACAGGTGGAAGCCCGAGGATGCATGTGCACATGTCCACGTGTATACATGAACGTGTTCACATTGAGCTCTGTGTGGCCACACCTCTAGACCTTTCCATAAAAACACATACATCTCCATTTGCACATAAGCACACACATGCCTGTGTAAATAAGTCCACCTACATGCGTGTACATGTGGAAGGCATAGAGATCCCTACATGCTTAAACACACATGTGACCATGCACATGCCTATATATGCATTGATTGGCGTGTCTGTTTATATGCAAGTGCTCCTATAGTACTAGCACAGGTACACACGCACGTGTGCATGTCTGTCCTTGTCTCTGCTGTGGCTCAGCCGGACCCTGGCTTTGGCCCTCGGTGTCCCCCGCCTCTGCCCCTGTTTCAGGAGTTGGGCCCTTCAGGTACAGGTGTTTGGGTGAGTGTGTTGTGGGGGCTGCCTCTGGGCTGCCCTCCCAGCACCTTTGCCCTCCCTCCTCCCTGCCCACCCCAGTCCTTTGGCCGTATCAAGAAGTGGCTGGAGCACGCGCGCTCCTCGCCCAGCCTCGCCATCCTGGCCGGGGGCAAGTGTGATGACTCGGTGGGCTACTTTGTGGAACCCTGCATCGTGGAGAGCAAGGACCCTCAGGAGCCCATCATGAAGGAGGTGACCGGGGCAGCCGGGGCCCAGAGGGGGACAGTCCCACCGGAGCACAGCACACACACAGGCCACTGGCACCGCATGTTCCCCCGGAGACATGCTGCCACTTCGCAGATGAGGCTCTACAGGGAGACCCTCAAAGGGAGTGAATGCCTCCTACCAGGAGAGAACGGAGTTAGATTGTTGAGCTCAGGCTGCCTGACTCCAGATCTAGGGCTGTGTCCTTGACCCTGGCTGGGGTCTGAGCGCTTCTGCTGCCCACAGCAACCACGGTCACCACAGCAATCGTAATGGCTCCCCTTGACAGACTCTTACTGTGGGCTGGCCTGGCTGAGCACTTGGCTGAGATGAGGTGGGCGTTACTGTTCCCGTTTTACAGAAGAGAAACTGAGGTCAAGGCACGTGCCCAAGCTGGCAGTGCAGGGCTGGAGTCTGCCCGAGAAGGAGATCTTCCTCAGCCCCTTGGTGGCAGAGGGAACCACAAACCCTCCTGGAGGGAATGGTATCTCTGGGCAGTTCTCGTGTCAGCTGCTGCCAGAAGCCTCTGGGACCTGGGCCCTTTGTCCTCCGGGTGTGGGTTTGGCAGGGAGAGCCAGAACATGTTTGCATCTTTTGCCAGCTTGCGGTGGGGTGGACAGGGCATGGGCACCTTGCTGTCCTGGAGGGAACCCAGGAGGAGGCAGCACCTGACCCTTCTTGCAGATACCGAAGTATGGACTGAGGCCCAGGGGCTGGGAAGAGGGGCGTCAGAGCAGGGGCACTGGGAGGGCTCATGGCCCTGGCCCCGTGGAGGGCCTGACGCGGGGACCTCTCTCCTAGGAGATCTTCGGGCCTGTACTGACTGTGTACGTCTACCCGGATGATAAGTACAAGGAGACGCTGCAGCTGGTTGACAGCACCACCAGCTATGGCCTCACGGGGGCAGTGTTCTCCCAGGATAAGTGAGTGGCCCGGCCCTGGTGCTGTGCTCTGGGTGTCCTGTCCCTGCCGGCTCTTGCCCCACCCCCACCTCCTGGAGGTGGCTCCCAGTAATAATGCCGCCCCCACCTCCTCTTTGTCCCCTCCCCTCAGCCCAGACAGGCAGCCAGGGCTCCCCACGTGGGCCCACGGCAGCAGCAGGCTCTTTGTTGCCAGTACTGGTGCCAGGGCGCCACTGGGCACCCGTGAATCTGAACCTCTATGGGCAGGGCCGGGAATTGTTGCTTTTGACCAGCTCTGCGAGATCTGTTGGGGCCCCGCTGAGCGAGGTGATTGTCCTGTGCTGCAGAGCAGGGCAGGCCAGGGGCTGCAGAGGCATGATTTGAACCTGGGTCCTGTGAGGCTGAACTTGAGGCTTCTCCTCTTCCTTCCTCCATGGTACCGGTTGCCCCCTCATCTGCCTCTGTGAGAGAGTAGAGAGGGGCTTGGAGAGAGAGGCAGGGTGGGAACTTGGGAGCTAGGATTTCCCCTGCTCCTGAGGGGCACGAACATTGGACCAGGACAGCTCACTCCCTTGAACTCTGCAGTAATCCCTCGATGGGGCGTGCTACGCCCCTCCCCAGGGGAGGAGCTGGGCTCAGAGGCAGGTTCACCTGACCGAAGGTCCACGGCCAACAGCTGGCCAGCATCCCTCTTCCCTGACTTGGCCTCGCGCTGAACCTGGAAAGCCAGTGTGGGCTGGAGCCGGGGCTGGAGGGAGATGAGCTGGTTGCTCTCTCACCACTGCCTTGCTTTCTAGGGATGTCGTGCAGGAGGCCACAAAGGTGCTCAGGAATGCTGCTGGCAACTTCTACATCAACGACAAGTCCACCGGCTCGGTGGTGGGCCAGCAGCCCTTTGGGGGGGCCCGAGCCTCTGGTGAGTGGGTCCCCTTTCCCATAGGGGAGCCAAGTTCCTGGTGCAAGACCCTAGGTGCTGCATCTGAGCAAGTCACTGTTTCCTCCTCTGTAAAATAGGAAGACTGGGGGACAGGGGCTACGTGTACATGCAGTGAGCCCCGCTCGGGCCTCCGCCATCCACCTGTCTGTCCATGCAAGCGGCCAACCTCACTGCACAGGCCCTTCTCCAGCCCCTCTACCCCTCCTGCATGGACAGCTGCCTTTCTAGAGCCCAGTCTTGACCCCCTTCCTACCACTGCATTCTGGCCTCTCTCATGACTCAGGCTCTGGTTTGAGAGCAAGTAGGAGTAACAGGAAGGACACCATTTACTGAGCACGTATTGTGGGCCAAGCAAATGTGCTACCTTAGGCTCCTTTCAGCACACTTGTGAGCAAAGGGACCCATTCTTCCCATTTTACAGAGGAGGAAACTGAGGCACAGGGCAGTGACTTGCTCAAGGCCACATGGGCCTGGTGGGGTTATAATTTTGGCTCCGGCAACCACACTTTCTGTACCATACCCAGTTTCTCTTAAGTCCAACAGCCTCTACTTCACAAATGGGAAACTGAGGCTCAGAAGGAGCAATGACCTGGCAAAGGGTACGGCTCCCAAGTGGCAGAGCCAGCGGTGGATCCAGGTGTGCTGGGCCTTCCCACACCAACCAGTTCTCCCGTTCCTGGTGGACACTGGCTGGGCGTCCTACAGTGTAACTTGATGCTAACTCCTCGGGGTTACCTTGTCTGACTTGGCTATAAATCAGAAGTTCCCGTGATGCCCTCTTCAGTTTTGATACTGAGCTCTGGCTCACAGAACCCAGGGGAGGCGTCCTTACTACAACCTATGTATTGAGAGAGGGGGTATTTTAAAGGATACAGATGAGGCTGGGCGCAGTGGCTCTCACACCTGTAATTCCAGCACTTTGGGAGGTGAAGAGATTGAGACCATCCTGGCCAACATGGTGAAACCCTGTCTCTATGAAAAATTAAAACGTTAGTTGGGCGGTGGCGAGTGCCCGTCGTCCCAGCTACTCAGGAGGCCGAGGCAGGGGAATCACTTGAACCCACGAGGTGGAGGTTGCGGTGAGCTGAGATGGCACCATTGCACTCTAACCTGGTGATAGAGTGAGACTCTATCGCCAAAAAAAAAAAAAAAAAAAAGAAAACGAAAGACAGAAAGAAAACGCACAGTTAAGCAGCCAGATGTGCTGACACACTCACAGGGCAGACTGGAAGGGTCCCCAGCACGGAGCCTCCGTCCCCCTGGAGTTTGGGCTGTGCCACCCCCTTGGCATGTGGCTGTGTTCACCAATCCGGAAGCTCTCCTGACACTGTCCTTGTGGATTTTCATGGAGGCTTCATTACACAGATACAGTTGATTCAATCATTGGCCCTTGGGGGTCAACTCAACCTCCAGCCCCTCTGCCCTCCCTGGGGCTGAAGCTTCCAAGCCTCTAATCACAGGGTTGGTTCCTTTGCCAACCAGCCCCATCCTGCAAGAGTCCTCATTAGCAGAAACTCACGTGTGATTAAAGGGGCTTGTTATGAATCACAGAAGACGATTGTTTCACCCCCATCACTCAAGAAATCCCAAGAGCTTTAGGAGCTCTGGGCAGGAACCAGGGATGATTCCCAGATACGTACTTGCTATGGCACCCCAGGACCATGCGAAGTCTCTACCTCTCAGTCCAGTGTTCTCTCCACGTCGCACCCGGCCTCCTAGACATCCTTGCATTCCAGCAAGGGTGCAAGGCTGGGAGCCAGGATGTCTGGGAGGCAGGGTGCGACGTGGAGAGAACAGCGGAGGCTCCCCAGCAGACTGGGGACTGGAGGCAGGGTCTCCCACCCATCCCTGACTCTTCGCATGCTCCAGGCTTGGCAGCAGGCTCATTGCCGGCCCGTCGATTCCATCACTTCTCGCTCTCTGCGCAGGCTGTTGTGTCTTTAAAGAGGAAAACAGAAGTGTCTTTTCCGCAGGAACCAATGACAAGCCAGGGGGACCACACTACATCCTGCGCTGGACGTCGCCCCAGGTCATCAAGGAGACGCATAAACCCCTGGGGGACTGGGGCTACGCGTATATGCAGTGAGCCACTCGGGCCTCTGCCGTCCACCTGTCTGTCCGTGCAGGCGGCCGACCTCACGGCACAGGCCCCTCTCTAGCCCCTCCACCCCTTCCTCCTTCATGGACAGCTGCCTTTCTAGAGCCCGGGCTTGACCCCCTTGCTGCTACTGTATTCTGGCCTCTCCCACGCCTCAGGCTCTGGTTTGAGACTGTGTTGGGGAGGAACAGGGCCACTACCCCTTGTCCCATCGGCCATGTGGGAGATAGGACTCTGGCACCTGGCGGGTTCTCCTTCTTCCCTCCCCTGGGCCCAGTGGCTCGGGGACCTGGGGAAAGGAGATGGAGCAGCTCTCAGGATCCTTTGGGGGAAAGGAGGCAGCTCTGGGCCCCTTGGCAAACCTCACCACCCACAGAGGCTCCTGGCCTAGATCCTGGGTCCTCCAGGTGTCCAGAGTGAAGTGCGACTCAGGCTGACTGTGGGGCACAGAGGGCATCAGCTGGCCTTGCCCTCTCTGGTCTGGGCTGCCTACCTTCCTCACTGTGACTTTGCCCAGACCCGCCTGGGCCAGGAGGCCCCTGTACTCAGCCACTCGCCTTAAATGCTGGCATGCCTTTCTCCAGGTGCCTGTGTTCTGCTGAGGCTCACGTGATTCCTGGTCGGTGCCACATGGTGGGGCTGGGGGCCCACTGGAGGCCACCTGCCAAGGTGTGGGATGGGGTGGTTCTGCCAGTTTGGGCTGTGATTCTGGAAAATTTTGGATGGGTTTCAGATCCTCCGGCCCTACCTCTAGAGACCTCCACTCCTAGAGCCAATCTTAGGGTCTGGGATTTCCCTACAGGAGCTCAGCCACCACTGTAACATACATGGAGACACAGACGGAGGCAGACACTGCCCCTCCCTTCTCCCCCAGGACGCTGCCCTGTAGAATCCTCCTCTGCGTGGGAGTGGCTCTGTGTGAACCAGTCCGTCATTGGCCCATTCTTTTTTTGATGCAACCAATCGATGGCCACGAATCCTCCCACAAGTGGCTCCTGGTTGGATTCTGAGTGGTCAGGGATTTATAAAGCGTGACTTTCAAGGATGGTTTTTAGGGGGCTGTGAAAGTTGGATCATCCTCCAGGATGGCTGCATGGAGGCCCCCCGCCCCTGAGCTGGTGTGGCCATTCCCCAAGTGCCACCGGCGGGTGCCAGTGCCACTTGGGCTGGGTGTGGGTTCTGTGTCTTTCCAGGATCTATGTCACTTCCCATGAGGGGCCGGGGCTGGTGGCTGAGGGGGCATGGACTGGAGTATTCTCGGTTCTACTGGTTCTACACTGTGAGGTGGCAATGGGATTTGCTCTGATGCCACCCAATAAAATGCCTGTTACTTAATCAAAGTGGTTGATGGTCTTTCTGGAGGGGATGGTGGGGGCAGCCAACATCTTCTAAGTCTGGTGGCCTTGCCAGTGTGTCACCAGGTCATGGGCACAGTGCTCTCAGCGTGACAGAGGAACAGTAGGTGCTGATGTTTGAAATTCCCTGCTGGGTTCACATCTTGCTCACTGCCTCCTGGCCGGATGATTGCCACAAAGTTATGTAACCTCTCTGACCTTCCATCTCATGAGGACCCACACGGCCACACCATGGGTCCTCATGAGAATTGAATGAGTTAATACATACACATGCTTAGAATAGTGCCAGACACAATGATTAAAACGTTTTACCCATAAGGCTAGGTGCAGTGGCCCATGCCTGTAATCCCAGCACTCTGGGAGACTGAGATGGGTGTATAACTTGAAGCCTGGAGTTCAAGACCAGCCTTTCCAATATAGTAAAACCCCATCTGTAGTAAAAATACAAAAATTAGCCAGGCATGCTGGCACGCGCCTGTAATCCCAGCTACTCAGGGAGGCTGAGGCAGGAGAATTGCTTGAACCTGGGAAGCAGAGGTTGCAGTGAGCTGACATTCTGGTCAAACATTCTGGGCATTTCTGTGAAGGTGTATTTGGGTGAGATTAACATTTAATTCAGTGGAGTTTTAAAAGTAAAAAGCAAGGCAGGTGACGCTTTGTCCCGTGGTGGGCATGTCTAATCAGCTGAAGGTCTTAATAGAGTGAAGAATGAGCTCTCCACGCAGGAAGGAGTTCTGCCAGGAGATTACCCTTGGACAGAAGAGCGGCCGCTCTTCCCTGGGCCTCCAGCCTGCTGGGCCGCTGGGCAGACTTTGGACTTAGTAAGCCTCCATGAGCCAATTTTTTTTTTTTTTTAACAGCATTTTGTTTCATTTATTTTTAAAAATTTATTTAGTTTACTTTAGGTGCATACTGTATCTGTCATTTCTCCCCATGTTATCCCTCCCCTCCCTCCCCACCCCCTGATGTCTCTCCCCTACCCCCCTCAACTGTCCCCAGTGTGTGATGTTCCTCTCCCTGAGTCCATGTGTTCTCCTTGTTCAACACCCACCTATGAATGAGAACATACAGTGTTTGGCTTTCTGCTCTTGTGTCAGTTTGCTGAGAATGATGGTTTCCAGATTCATCCAAGTCCCTACAAAGGACATGAATTTCAGCCAATTCTTAAGACCTCTCTCTTGTTCCTGTTCTGTGTCTCTGGAGGACCCTGACGAATATGTGTGCTGAAGACCCTCTATGGTTCCTTACAGCAGTCTTAGGAAGGAAATTCTGCCATGCTCCCATTTTGCAGATAAGGACATTTAGGTACAGAGGTCGGGGGAACTTCCTGGGGGTATGGTATTGCTGAGACGTAAACCCTGGTCTGTCTGATTTCAGAGCCCGTTCTCTCTCCTTCTCCCAGATGCCCACAGCTGGTGCTGAGCTGCCTTGGAAAGACAAACGACCATGAGGAGCCACTGTGGCCAGTTAGCTTGAGCCCAGCTCTGTGACCTGGCCTGTCCCCACCTGCGCATGATGTAAAAGGGGCTGTTTTATAAACCACACTGACACCTCCAGGGACCACAGGCAACACCCAGGGTGCCCTAGGCTGAAGCGCCGAAGGGAATGGTGGCAACTGCGTGTGGAGTCGAGGGACCAGCAGGCTGTGAACGTGTTTGAACCCATGGTGTGACTCGCTCGAGATCACACGGAGACAGAGGCGGCTAATTACTAAGTGCTTTACCCACCTGGTTGCTTAGAGTCTTGGCAGCGACCTTAGCAGGTGACCGTGGCGGGGCTCACGGGGGTTGGAGGCAGAATGACTAGTGCAAGGTCATGCAGCTGGTTAGGAGGAAGACGGAGGCTTGCCCCCGGGCCTGTGGGTACCCGCGGCCCGTGTTCTTCGCCACCTGCTCCATCGGGCCCCCGCCTTCCTTCCAAGCGCCTGCTCTCCCACGATTATTTTATCCATCCCTCCCCAACCTGCCACCAGTGCCTCCTTTTGAACCAGGGGTGACTCAAAGCTGTTGCTCACCCTGTTCCCTCTCCTCTCCCTCATCCCCTAGACTTGGGGCTGGTGGCTCTTGAGGGCCCAGGGCCTGCTCAGGGACCCGAGGCTTCTTTGCATGGTCACCACAATAAGTCCCCATGTCTGCGGCGGCCCAAGGAGCCCCTTCATTTCCCTGCTGTGGACAGGGGCCCAGCCGCAGCCCTGAGCTTGGAGCATGAACCATTTGACTGAGGCCGGATGGCCCTGCCACCGCTGTCCCACGGGCTGCCGGTGGAGCATGCCCGCTAAGGAAATGAGGGGCCACCTGTGCCGGCTGCAGGACACCAGGCTGACCGGGAGCTCCTGGGTGGCGGGGGTAGGGGGTGGTCAGGGGAAGCAGCAGGAAGCAGACCCATTCTCCAGGGAGTCCTCATGTTCACTAATTCATCCCCCCACCAAATTCATTGCCTTATTTCCTGGACGTTCTGTTTAGGGGCCAGATAAGTAAGTAACAAGAGCCACCATTGCTAGAACACAGGCTGCGTGCCAGGCATTGGGCTAAATGCTTCGGACATCATGGCCTCGGAGCCCCACGGCAGCCCCATAAAGCCAGTGCTGTTACTCCCATTTTACAGAGGAGGAAACAGTGGCACTGATAGGTGAAGTAACTCACATGCCCGGAGGAAATGAGCAAACTGGGTTTCAGTCCCACATCTCTGACTCCCGAGCCCCTGGCCACAACCACCACCATCTGGTGCCCTGGAGCTGGACAGGTGCTGGGCTCAAACCCCAGCCTTAGCCCCTTGTTCCTGTGCCCTGACCTCCCGGCTTCAGATTTCTCCAGGAGCTGAGGACCAAATGAAATATTTAAAAACAAAATGCTGCATCCCATGCCCTGCCAAGATGAGATGCCCGATCAGTGTGAACTTTTAATTTTGAACCTCAATACTTCTTCATTCTAGATATGTGAGTTCCCAGGAAAGAGGAGAAGCCAGATTTAACTGAGCACCTATTAATAGGCCTGTTGTTCCTACGAATTCTCTTGGACCACACTGGTCTGTGAAATAGTATTGTAGCCCCATTTCACAGATGACAACTGAGGCTTGCAGAGGTGAGGAGAGACCTGCTTAGTAAGGGGCAGGGGCAAAAGCCGAACTTGTTTCTGATGACTACACCAGCAACCCCTTGTCCTTGTTCCTCGCAGGAATCCATTCTTCCAGGTGGTCTGTGCATGGGCGACAGGAGGCCCGGCTGCTGTCATGGCTCTGAACACAACCAGCCAGATTTGTCCTTCTGTGCCCGGGTGGCTGCCAGCCATGCTGGACGATGGAGCAGGTACCACATGCCCCTCAGGCACCCAAAGTAGAGCAGAAGGCTGTTCCAGGCCTCTGCCATGCTTCCCTCAGCTCTGTGTGGCCAGGCAGTTGCCCTCAGCCCCTGAGCATCTGGTCCACAGAGGCACTGTTGGGCACCTGCTCCAGGGTGTGCATCGGGGCAGGCATCACTGGAGGGAGAGTGAGGCTCAGCCAGGGAAATGCCTGGAAGGGGCCACACAGCAAGTGCAGAGCCACAACTGGAACCCCAGTGAGTCAGATTGGGGTCTTAGAGTCAAGAGCCACAGAGTCATAGACCCCACCCTTTTACTGGGGCTAAAATTGAGGGTCCCGGCTGGGTGCAGTGGCTCACGCCTGTAATCCCAGCACTTTGGGAGGCTGACGTGGGAGGATCACTTGAGGTCGGGAGTTCGAGACCAGGTTGACCAACTTAGTGAAACCCCATTTCTACTAAAATACAGAAATTATCCAGGTATGGTGGCATATGCCTGTGGTCTCAGCTACTCAGGAGGCTGAGGCAGGAGACTCACCTGAACCCAGGAGGCGGAGGTTTCAGTGAGCCAAGATTGCACCACTGCACTCCAGCCTGGGCAACAGAGTGAGACTCTGACTAAAAAAAAAAAAAAAAAAATGATAAATGCAAATTTACATTATTAAATTCTCAGCACTTTGGGAGGCCAAGGTGGGTGGATCACCTGAGATCAGGAGTTGAAGACCAGCCTGGCCAACATGGTGAAACCCTGTCTCTGCTAAAAATACAAAAATTAACTGGGCGTGGTGGTGTGCACCTGTAATCCCAGCCACACAAGAGGCTGAGTCAGGAGGATCACTTGAACCCAGGAGGTGGAAAAAAAGTCAATTCCCAGTGACTTTGGACAAGCCACTTAACCTCCTGAGCTCTGGTTTCTTCATCTGTACAATGGGGATAAAAGGTCCTTCACAAAATTCTGACGAGCAGATGCAGTGCTGTTTGAAAGCATTGCAGAGGCTCCATAAAAGCTGATTCCCTTCCTTTATGCTTTAGGTACTATTACCCTCTTGGCTCTTATTGAGCTTGTGGTCATTTAAGACCTCCAGCTCTTTTTCTGGTTGAGAGGCAAGCTGTTCAACGTCACCCAACAAAGTTTGGTGAGGAGGCTTGAGTGGATCCCTGGGTACAAAAGGGTATCCCAACCACAGCAGGGTCCCTTCCTCAGGTCTTAGCTGACCCCTGGCTTCCCAGCTTTAGGAACTCACACCACTCCATTCCTTGGACTTCTCGTCTCATAGGAGTTGGGTGAGAAGTACTGATGAGGCTGGGTCCTCTGAGACCTGGCTTTGAGGCCTTCCCAGCAACCCTCCTCCAAGGTGCTTCTGAACCAAACAGGTTGGCTTAGGCGCTGCCCATCTCCCAGACCTGTCCTGGGGTGGCCCTGCGTGCCCACCCCCTGCCCATCATAAGCCAGACCGGAGGTGGGTTTCTAGTGGCCCAGTTTTGTCCTGGAGTATGGAGTGCTGGCGAGAAGGAGAGAGAAGGAATGGTGGGTGGGGAAGGAGGAAGAGAGAGAGGGAATGGTGGGTGGGGAAGGAGGAGACAGGAGCGAATAGAGAGACTTGCAAGTAGAGCGGCAGAGACAGATGAGAGGGTCAGGTGGGAGCAGCAGCTGATGAATCCCCCAGTCCCTAGGGTCAGGCCCAACTTGGGGGCTTCCCCTTTGCCCAGCCCCTACCTAACCCTAGGGCAGGGGGAGGAAGGACGTTCAAAGTGGCCCTTTCAGCTGACATGCTCATTTCCTGTCCGTGAGCCCTGGGGTAAGCAGATGCCAAGGCAAATGGGCAGCTTGTGGCTGGCTGTTTCCATAGCGCACCCCTCTCTCCTTCCCCTGTGTACTTTGCATAAGTGTGTCATGGCTGTTCCTCACCTTGGCAGCCACACAGGTATGAGCACGGGGACCGCAGGGCTTGGACCAGGCGGTGAGGGTGATGGCTGGGGCTGGCCTGCGCTGTGTCCAGCCACAGCGGGGCAGGTGCTATGTGTGCGGCACTGAAGGAGAATCCCAGTGACATTTCCAGGCCTTCCCATGGCATTCCCAGACATCTGTCCTCAGGGAAGCTGGTGCTCTGGACAGCGTCCACTTGCCCCTCGTAGGTAATGTCAGGGCCTCAGGGGGACTTGGAGATCATCTCAGCCCAGAGTTCTCAGATAAGCCTCAAGGGCTGGCAAGGCCCTGGATGTGGGTGCATGGCTGCACTTGTTGGGGGTGTGTTGGTGTGCAGGGCTTTCATCAGAATCTCAAAAGGACGCTTGTCCCCAATCCATGAAGAAGCGCATAGTCCATTTTACAGATGGGGAGGGTGAGGCCCAGAGAATGCAAGTGACTTGCTCAAGAGCAGCGTCGCAGGTCGGGGTGGAGCTGGACCAGGACTTTGACCCTCTGTCCAGTGCGCCTTCAGATTTCAGTCTTCAGAGACACCATCTATCCATATAACAGCCCACGCTAAAAAGCTCTTCCTGTCAGTGGGACCCCCATCATGTCTTCCTCGTTGGAGTCCCTGAGTCTCCACCACTCCCATTAGCCCCCATGAGGGTCTCGGGTGGTTTCAATCTGCATACTTGCTGTGTGCTTTTGAGTAAGTTACTGGTCCTCTCTGAACCTCAATCTCTTCTCTTCTGCAAAATGGGGAGATAGTGGCACCTTAAAAGGTGGAATAGGCCAGGTGCAGTGGCTCATGCCTGTAATCCCAACAATTTGGGAGGCCAAGGCAGGTGAATCACTTGAGGTCAGGAGTTCAAGACCAGCCTGGCTAGCATGGAGAAACCCCATCTCTACTAAAAAGACCAAAATCAGCTGGATGTGGTGGCACACACCTGCAATCCCAGCTACTTAGGGGGCTGAGGCAGGAGAATCGCTTGAACCCAGGAGGCGGAGATTGCAGTGAGCTGAGATCGCGCCACTGCACTGCTGCCTGGGTGACAGAGCAAGACTCCATCTCAAAAAAAAATCAAATCAAATCAAAACAAAACAAAAACAAACAAACAAAAAACGGTAGAATAAAACAGGGTGGCAGAGCATGGCGAGGGCTCAGCGCAGCACCCGGCAAAGAGTGAGTTCTTGAATCATGTTAACAACAGAACTCACTTGTGCTCACTGTCCCCCTCATTGTCCCGTGTCACACGGCACAGACCCTGCCTCCCCGAAGGAGCTCTTGGCTGGTTGGTGCTTCCTTCCTCTTTACTCCATCCCGGTGGCATCACCCGCTGTCCTGATGTACTTTTGATTGAATTTATTAGAGCAGAGGGCTCAAATCTCAGCCTTAGCCCCTTGTTCCAGAAAGAAATCTGCCTTTCTGGACTTGGCCCAGAAAGAACTTGGTCCTGAAAGTCAATCAGCCTTTCTGGACTTGGGTGACTGCCTCTCTCCAGGCCTCAGTTTCCCTGTCTGTACAATGGGTAGGCTTGTGGGTCTCTGTAGGCTCTCTTGGCTCTGACACTCTACACTGTGGGCGCGCCTGCTTCCCTGCTGTCCTCCAAGGTGCACTGCCCTCCCCAGGGCCCTGGTTTCTGTCTCTGGATGGTAAACCCTGCCACACAGTGGGCTCAGCCGGTGCCCACTGGATGGACGGCTTGCCCAGGCATTCTTGTCCTCTGCCACCCTCCCTTGTCCCCAAACCTGAGATTGGGGCTCTGGGCCGACTGACATGGAGGCAGATAAAGGCCATGCAAAGGGGGCCTCCCCTCTCTATAGAGGAGGAAACTGAGACCCAGAGAAGGGAGAGTCAGGCCCAGAGCCCCCATGTCCAAACACTCCACGCGGGGCGCTTCCTTTTGTTTTATGCGTCCCAGCTCCCATCCACTGGTTTACCCAGGCCCAGAGAGGGGCAGGGACAGGCCCAGATCACACGGCCAATCCTGCCTCCTCCTGCAGCACCAGGAGGCCTCCCGCTGTTGTCTGACAGGCCCACGGGACGACTCCGCCCCAGGAGTGGTCAGGGCAGGAAAAGGGGTGCCCTGAGATCAGCACTACATCCTGGGGTTCCCAGTTAACTTAGATGCTCTATCTCTCTGCCATCCCCTTACCCCTAAGCTTTGCCAAATAATGTGGCTTTTCTGGAAGTCTCCACAGGGCCTCCCAGCTCCCAGCATCTTTATTCCCCGATTCAGAACAGACACGTGTAGTCATATGTGGCTTCTTGTGGCTGTACCGGGAATGAATCCTTCCCCAGCACCCGGGGCGGGACCTGTGTTGAGGGAGGGCAGCGCCATCCCTGAACCCCCATGGCGGGAGGTGCAGTGACAGCTTCTGTGGGCAGAACAGACTTGGCACGGGGGCTAGGAGCTTGGGCAGCCTGGATTTACATTCTGGCTTCACCACCTAGTAGCTTTGTGACTTTTGGAAAGTTGCTTAGTTTCTCTGAGCCTCAGTTTCTTAATCTTCAAAATGGGAATAAAAATGGTTACTTTGAAGGGGAGTTGTAAGAATTAAATGCTAATGCGAATCAATTAAATGACAATGCATATAAATGCTTGGCACAAGGCCTGGAATTTAGTAGACTCTGGGTGCGTTTAATACACACCAGGTGTGGCGACTCAGACCTGTCATCCCAGCACTTTAGCAGGCAGAGGAGGGAGGACTGCTTGAGGCCAGGAGTTCATGACCATCCTGGGCAACAGAAGGAGACCCCATCTCCACAAAAAATTTAAAAACTTAGCTGGGTGTGGCAGCATGTGCCTGTAGTCCTAGCTACTTGGGAGGCTGAGGCGGGAGGATCTCTTGAGCACAGAAGGTCGAGGCTGCAGTGAGTTTCGATTATTCCACTGCACTCCAGCCTGGGTGACAGAGCGAGATCCTGTCTCTAAAAAACAGAAACGACAAACCATGCTCCAGGAAAGGTGCTATTTGTTGTTACGACCCACTCAGGACCCCTAGGTATTTGGCAGGGTGGCTGTCTGTGGTCTTGGGAGGTCACTAGAATCCTACCCCAGGAAGATCCTCCAGGGACCCAGATCCAAAGAGACCAGTGTGGCTGTGGTTTGTGGCACAAGCCACAGGAGAGACCAGGCTGGAAAGGCTGGGAACGGGAGGATGAGTGAGCTGGGGCCAGGCTGGGGAGGCCTCAAATGCCAGGACAAGGAGCTCAGACTTGATCCAGCTGGTGACGGGGGTCGGGGTGGGATGGGGTATTAGAGCAGAGGAGGGATGAACTGAGAGCTGTGGTTTGGGGTTTTAAGCAGACAGCATGGGGCAGATGGAGAGGTGCAGAAAGGGGGTGATGAGGGTCTGCAGGGGGTGTGGCGTGGAAAGTGGAGGGCATGGAGAGAATCATGGGGTAGTGGAGAGTCGGCGCTGGGGCTCTGGACCAGCTGACATGGAGGCAGACGACGGCAGTGCACGGGGTTTTTAATCACCTCTTTGTACCTTGAAGCCTCTGCCCATCAGAACCCTGGAGCCCAGCAGCCAGGTACTTGCCTGTGACCGACCCATTCCAGCTGAGTGGTGTGTGGCCGGTCCCCTAAGTCTCAGCCACCTGTTGTTAGGGCTGGAAAGAAACAAAACAGCTCTAAGTGGACAAGGGTCTCTGATTCAAATGGGTCCCTAGTTCACTGGAGCCACCTCCCCACCTCTGACTCCTTGGGGGTATTCGCCTTTGAATTTAGGAATTTCCAACTTTCTGTTCAACAGCCCTGCCCTTTGGTGTGGGGACCGAGGGTCGGGACCCAGAGAGGGTGTTGCTAGGCTGACGATGACACCTTCAGAGGAAGCGAGACCACCCCCCCCCCACTCCTTCCCCCATCCTCTTTGTCACGGCTGTGTTTTATTTTTTTTTAATCGAAAGCTCTAACTTTGTGATTTAATGAGGTGTGGTGATGAAGGACCCAGCCCTGGCGTCAGACCACGTGGTTTGAATCTCAGCTCTGCTAGTCATGCAGCCGGGGCTGCGTTTCTTCATTTCTCAGCGCCTCCATTTCTTCATCTCTGAAATGGGGTTAGTAATGGCCCCGGTTACTGTGAGCCTTAGATGAGATGATGAGCGGCAAGTGATGCCTGGTTCTTCCAGACAATGGCTACCACTTTCTGACACCTGTACATCACTACATGCCTGGCCTGACTTGGCTGGGCTCTAGAGCTTGGGCGCTTTTGGCCACACCACTCTGTCTCCTGACAGTACCTATCCTTTGCTCCTGAACTATTTGAAATGTCAGGAAGACGAGGCTTTGTCCTTGGACGGGTGGCAGAAGGCTAGGGTGTGGCCAAGTTATCAGGATGCTTCCTCTCTCTCCAAATAGGGTTTCCCTCGACCACCTAGTCCCACGGTGCTCTAAGAAAGAATCATCATAATTCCAGCCTCCTTTCCTCCCCCTGGGCCCCCAAACCTCTCCATCTGCTCCAGGTGCCCTGCGATCAGTGGCAGGACCATCGCTATGTAAATGTCTGTGCAAATGCACCGTCATCAAGCACCAGTTCTCCGGCAAGACAGGACTACCTCCTGACAGCATCACTTCCCAGCCATGGAGCCCAGGGTGAGGACCGTCTGCTTCCTGTTCTTCCTGCTATGGGTCCTGGCTGAGCCGGCTGAGAACTCGGACTTCCACCTGCCTGGGGATTACCTCCTGGGTGGCCTCTTCACCCTCCATGCCAACATGAAGGGCATCGTCCACCTCAACTTCCTGCAGGTGCCCATGTGCAAGGAGTGAGTCTCCAGTGGGGGCTGGAAGTGGCAGTGGGGATGGGGTGGGAAGCCAGGGCTGGTCCTGTAGTCCTTGGGAGCCAGGCCAGGACCAAAGGCTTAGAGCACTGCTCTCCATTCATTGCCAACCCCCTTATTCTGGATCCATGCCCCTAGCCCCCAGGGAGGCGTTATACAGTGCGAGTACCAAAATCTTTGGCGATTGTGTTCTGAAACACTGAGGCTTGGGTCATCTCAATGTCATTTTTTAAAAAAATTGAGTTGCAAAATGTTTGAGCCTAGAGGGCCATCAAAACTGCCCCACCCACTTGGGCAACTGGGAGGACTCCCAGGGGGTCTGTGTCAAAGCTCATTCAAAAAACCTTTGGGAGGCAGAATGTGATTTTTCTGTAGCAGGTTCACAGACTGCATTTTGCAAGGGCTATGGCCGGGTGGGTAGGGGTGCTTTTGGGCCTAGAGGGAAGTTCTTCTTCCCTCACCTCCACAAGCCCCTTGGGATGGCAGCATCACTTGGAGATTGTGGGGGGTGGGGGCATCTGCATGCAAGCATGAAGGCGGGGACATGGAGCCAGCCTGGGACTATAAAATAGTGATCTCTTGCAGAGAGGGTGAAGGTATTGTGGGAGATAAGGAGAAAGGTAGGACAGTGCAAAAGAGGATTAAGGGTTGACTATAAGAAATGCATCATTTACGACATTGGGGAAGATCGTGTGCTGGCTTGAGAATGGTGAAGGTGACGGCACCAGGCACAAGGCTGGATTTTCTAATGCTTGTGATCATGGCAGGGAGTATAATGATGATGATGAATGTAATGGTGGTGATGCTGCTAATGTTGATAACAGTAATACTGGTGATGATGACAACGATAAAAGAGTATGGTAGTGATGGTGGTGGTGGTGGTGGTGGTAATAGTGTTGGTAATGATGGTGCTGGTAGTGATAATGGTGACGGTTGCAGTGATGATGGTGATGCTATCAATGATAGTGTTGGTGATGATGGTGATGGTAGTGATGTTGGTGATGGGGTGGTGATGATGGTGATGGTGATGATGTTGGTGATGGGGGTGGTGATGATGGTGATGGTGGTGCTGATGGTGCTGATGATGGTGATGGTGGTGATGGTGTTGGTGATGGCAGTAATGATGGTGATGGTGGTGGTGATGGTGGAAATGGTGGTGGTGATGATGGTGATGGTGGTGATGGTGTTGGTGATGGCAGTGATGATGGTGATGGTGGTGGGAATGGTGGAAATGGTGGTGGTGATGATGGTGATGGTGGTGATGGTGCTGGTGATGGCATTGATGACGGTGATTGTGGTGATGTTGGTGATAGGGGTGGTGATGATGGTGATGGTGATGATGTTGGTGATGGGGTGGTGATGATAGTGATGGTGGTGATGATGGTGCTGATGATGGTGATGGTAGTGATGGTGATGGCAGTGATGATAGTGATGGTGGTGGGGATGGTGGAAATGGTGGTGGTGATGATGGTGATGGTGATGATGGTGCTGATGATGGTGATGGTGGTGATGGTGTTGGTGATGGCAGTGATGATGGTGATGGTGGTGGGGATGGTGGAAACGGTGGTGGTGATGATGGTGTTGGTGGTGCTGATGGTGCTGATGGTGGTGATGGTGTTGGTCATGGCAGTGATGATGGTGATGGTGATGGTGGAAATGGTGGTGATACTGGTGGAGATGGTAGTGGTGCTGATAGTAATGGTGGTGGTGACAGAGATGGTGGTGGTGACAGAGATAATGGTGGTGATGATGGTCACAAGGTTGTGTGACAGTGATGGCAGTGGTGGTGATATTGGTAATAGGGATAGTGTGTGATGATGATGATAGAGGTGATGGTGATGATGGAAGTTATAGTGGATAATGGTGGTCACATTGGTGGACTTCGGTAGATTGGTGATGGAGGTTATAGTAATCACAGCCACATGAATAACAGTGTTAGCAGTGGAGGCCACGTGGGCAATGGTGCCCCTAGAGGTGTGGCATGGTGACAGTGTTGTGAAAATTCCAGAGTCTTCTGGAGTGGTTCCTTTTCAGCCAATGCCTTGGCTTTCCTGTGGCAGGGAGGAGGAGTGGGCTGGCTCTCTTATCCCTCCTTTCCTCACTCTGAATCTACTCCCACCTCACGCTGCTGTGGACCCTCCAGGTACGAAGTGAAGTTGAGTGGCTACAACCTCATGCAGGCCATGCGCTTCGCGGTGGAGGAGATCAACAATGACAGCAGCCTGCTGCCTGACGTGCGGCTGGGCTACGAGATGGTGGATGTGTGCTACGTCTCCAACAATGTCCAGCCGGTGCTCTACTTCCTGGCACAGGAGGACAACCTCCTTCCCATCCAAGAGGACTACAGTAACTACGTGCCCCGTGTGGTGGCTGTCATTGGCCCTGAAAACTCCGAGTCTGTCACGACTGTGGCCAACTTCCTCTCCCTCTTTCTCCTTCCACAGGTGAGGCCCCTGGGCCCTGGAGAGGGACCTGGGGAGGAGGGCAGAGGAGTGGCTGTCTAGGGGGCCTCAGGAGCCACTTCCTCCATCAATCATGGGAGGTGATGCTAGGACCAGAAGCAGGGTCAGGACATCAGCCCGAATCTTGAGAAGGCAGCAGCTTATGGCATAAGAGCTCAGGCTTTGCGGGGACAGATCTGGTTGTGCAACTTGGCACTGAGTCTTAGCCACAGTGAAGCCTTTGGCAAATCTCTTAACTCTTCTAGGCCTGTTTTCCCACCTGTAAAGTGGGATGATAAGTGTTCCATCCCAGGACGGTCTGAAGATTAGTGTTCAACCTGTGTAAGTTTCTAGCGCACAGTAGGTAGTCAATAATTTTTTTTTTTTTTTTCTGAGATGGAGTTTCGCTCTTGTTGCCTAGGCTGGAGTGCAGTGTTGTGATCCTGGCTCACCGCAACCTCTGTCTCCCAGGATCAAGTGATTCTCCTGCTTCAGCCTCGCTAGTACCTGGGATTACAGGCATACGCCACCACACCTGGCTAATTTTGTATTTTTAGTAGAGATGGTGTTTCTCCATGTTGGTCAGGTTGGTCTCGAACCTCCCGACCTCAGGTGATCCACCTGCTTTGACCTCCCAAAGTGCTGGGATTACGGGCATGAACCACCGTACCCAGCCTCTCAATAATGTTTTCAAAAAGCATCTTGCACAGGAATGAAAACTTGAAGTGCTTAATATTATTCGGTGTGCACAAGGTCTGTGCCATGGTAGGTCCTCAAAAAAGGGTTATTTGTATTATTACTAGTATTATAACTGTTATCATCATCATGATTGAAAGTGCCCAGTGCAGTATGGGTACAGACTATATATTCATTCAAGATCAGTTAGCAAAAGACTTGGCACGCAGTAGGTAGTCATGAATATTGTGATTGTTGCCATTTAATGTTAGTACTTTTACATGAAGCATCTAGCTGAGGACTGAATTCATTCTTTCATTCATGTAACAGATATTTACTGAGCACCTACTATGTGCCAGGTACTGTTGTAGGTGCTGGAATATAGCTGGCAAGAATATGGAAATCATTGCCCTCGTGGGGCTTCTCTTCTAGTGGGGAGAGACAGAAAATAAGTGCAAACAGTAAGTGAGGTAGGACGTCAGAGGTGAGACGTGCAATGAATAAAATAAAAATGTGGGCAGGGTAGAGGGGACCTGGCACGTTGGTGGAAAGGAGGAGTTGGTAGAGGGAGATTGCAGTTTTTGACAGGGTGGTCAGGTGGGTCTCACTGACAATTGGGCAAAGACTTGAGGGAGGTGAAGGAGTGATGGGGCCAGGAGCGATCTAAGAGAAGAGCATTCCAGAAAGAGGGGTTAGCAAATGCCAAGGCCAGGAGCTGCCTGGCATGTTGGCGGAACTGGAGCCGGAGAGAGAGGAGAAGGAATGAAAACAGACAGGCGGGGGCTATGCAAAGAAATGTTGGAGGCCTCAGGGGCCATTCAGGGAGACACCGGCTTTTCCTGGGTGATGTTAGGAGCTGTTGAGGGGTTCTGAGAGGAGGAGTAAAGTGACCTGATACGCGTGTGAGCAGGGTCACCGGGCTGCCACGTTCAGCGTAGACTGTAGGGGACAGTGGGTGTGTCATGTTACAGTGTAGGCCAGGGGTGATGGTGTCTGGACAGCAGGGAGCGCAGAGCTGGTAGGCGCTGGATGGATACATTTTGAAAGGAGAGCCAAGACGATTTGCTGATGGATCTGCTGTGACCCGTGTGTGAAAGAAGAGTCAAGGGTGACTCCAGAGTTTTTGGCCCGAGTCACTGGAAAGATGGATTCGTCATCAACCTAGATGGGGGAGGGTGTGGGTGGAACAGGCTCAGAGGAGAGCAGGGCTTTGGGGTGGATTTGTGAAGTCTGAGACGTCAGGCAGGCAGGTGTGGTATGCGTCTGGAGTTTAGGGGAGAAGTCCAGGCCAGGGCTGTCCATTGGGAGTTGTTGGTGTGGAAATGGGATTTGAAGCCATGAAGCTGGATGGGACCACCAAGGGACGGGGAGAGCAGCTGGAGACGAGACAGGGACCGAAGCCTGAGCCCAGAGTCCTCCAAGGCTAAGAGGTCATAGAAAGAGAAGGAACCAGCAAAGGAGATGGGACACCCAGTGGGTTGGGAAGAAAACCACAGAGCACTGGAGGCAGAGGGAAGAAACGTGGCCAGTTGATGAGCCTGATGGTGATGAGGGTGAGGGGGAAAGCACTGTGCTCAGCGGGAGTTTCTAGGTGATGGGGACGATGGGGATGTCACTCACCCAGCCCAGGATGTGGTTCTCGCTAAAAGCCGGTGTGCTGATGACTATGAGGATGATGGTGTATATGGCTTGGCCCAGGGCGTGGTACACAATAGGTGCTCAATAATCATGATGGTGCTGGGGCCCGGCACACAGTAGGTTCTTATTGCATGTGGCTACCTACGGACCATGATGGTGTAAACAACCTCCCTCTGGGGTGGGTTACACTAGGTGCTTTCCGAATGATGATGGTGGATAGAGCCCAGGGGTGGGGGCAGAGCTCGCAGTAAGGCACTCGCTCATGCCACGGCCCTTCCCCTTGCAGATCACCTACAGCGCCATCAGCGACCAGCTGCGAGACAAGCAGCGCTTCCCGGCCCTGCTGCGCACCACGCCCAGCGCCAAGCACCACATCGAGGCCATGGTGCAGCTGATGCTGCACTTCCGCTGGAACTGGATCAGTGTGCTGGTGAGCAGCGACACCTACGGCCGCGACAACGGCCAGCTGCTGGGCGATCGCCTGGCCGGCGGCGACATCTGCATCGCCTTCCAGGAGACGCTGCCCACACTGCAGCCCAACCAGGACATGATGCCGGAGGATCGCCAGCGCCTGGTGAGCATCGTGGAGAAGCTGCAGCAGAGCACGGCGCGCGTCGTGGTCGTGTTCTCGCCCGACCTGACCCTGTACGACTTCTTCAGGGAGGTGCTGCGCCAGAACTTCACAGGCGCCGTGTGGATTGCCTCCGAGTCCTGGGCCATCGACCCGGTCCTGCACAACCTCACAGGGCTGCACCGCACGGGCACCTTCCTGGGCATCACCCTACAGAACGTGCCCATCCCAGGCTTCAATGAGTTCCGCGTGCGGGGCCCACAGGCCGGGCCGACACACCAGAGGTCTACCTGCAACCAGGAGTGCGACACCTGCTTGAACTCCACCTTGTCCTTCAACACCATTCTCAGGCTCTCTGGGGAGCGCGTCGTCTACAGTGTGTATTCTGCGGTCTACGCCGTGGCCCACGCCCTGCACAGCCTCCTCGGCTGTGACCACAGCGCCTGCACCAAGAGGGTGGTCTACCCCTGGCAGGTGAGGGCCCCAGGGAGTGGTTGCCACCGAGACGGCAGGGCACCTCCATCCTCCTCCCTTGGGGTGCTGGGCAAATGAGTGTGAAAGGCCACGGGCATCCTGTTCTTCCTGACGCATATCACTCGTCCTCCCTGGTCCCAAAACAAAATTGCTTTTAAAATTAAATTTAACCTTTGGGGTAAAATTAATTTAACCCTCAGCATCCAGGATAGTTTGTTCTTGGAGACTCAGGTAGAATTCAGCAGAAGGAAATCCCACAGGCAGCGGGAACGGCACCCCCACCCCTCCAGCCTTTCCGCGGTTGGGAGTCTGGGATGGGCTTGAGTTTTCCCCTGGACCCTCTAAGGCCTTTCATGGCTTTCATGGATCTTCTCGTGACCCTAGTTCTGTATCACCGTGGTTCAGACGGAGACTTTAGGTCTGTTCTTCTGGTGTAGCACACACATCCACATTCACAGGTACACACAGAAACCGCCTGCCACGAAACCTGCTGGGATATAGAAGGTTTTACTGAGGATCAGAGGCGCAGAGGGGATTTGCATTAGAGAGACGCACTTTATAGTTTGCTATTAGAGATCTCTGTTCTTAAACAATTGCTTGGCTTTTCACAGTTCGGAGCCAGCCTTCCACTCTTGCTCAGCCACCTCCCAAGCCCTGCCCATCTCCCCTCTTCTCTCCTTTCTCCCACCTGCGACATCCCTCTCCCGTCCTCAAATAGCTCTTCACTTCCTTAACAGAGCAAATTAGTTCGCTCTGAAGAACCTCTCTTTCTCATTCTATTTAATCGTACCTCTCTATCCCATAACCTCAGACCCTAACCTTGCAACCTGGAACATTTTTCTTTTAAAAGATTGCAGTTATTCTTTAAAAGGAATTCTGCTGCCAGTTGGTAAAAATGCTGTGTATTGCTCTATGTCCTGTTACATTAATAATATGCATAACAATCATGGGTGCTTTACTGCTCTGTGAGGGCCTACTAGGCACTGAATGCCTGGCATACATCACCTCTAACTCATGGCCATCCTGTGAGGATAATCTACAGGTAGAAAAACTGAGGGACAGGAAATCAAAGTGACTAGCTCGTGATTGTTCAGTGGTAAGTGGCAGACCCTGGCTTTGAACCCAGGTCTGGCCCATTCTGCTGTGGTTTTCCCATTTCGCCTTCTGGGCATCCTCCCAGCTGCAACTGGCAGGAGCTATGATGAAAGACAGTTGACTCTCCTTTTCCCAGCAGTAGAGATGAAAGGGCACCAATCATAGCAACCAGGGTGCTCTATCCCTTTTGTTGAGCATCTACTATGTGCCAGGCCTGGAGGACCCCCACCCTAGGAGGAGATGAGGATACTTAATAAGATCTGTCTGCAAGTGCAGCAGGAAGTCAGAATTGCAGCTGTGCACAGGGCAGGGGTGTCATCATGGTGGAGAGGGTCGCGGAAGGCAGGACTGATGTAGGGAGTGGGCAGGCGCTGGAGCTTCCAGAAGGGGAGTGGGAGAGGAGTGGGGGCCACATGGTTGGGCTCATGTGGTGAAGACCGAGAGGCCACAGGAAGTGCAGGTGATACTGGAGGGCATCAAGTGCCGGATGAAGGAGAGGGGGCTTTGTCCTAGAGGCAGCTGGAGTTCATAGAGAGTTTCAAGCACCGAGATGACGTTCTTGAGACAGCTCAACAAGTCAATTTAGGGCTGTGGTGGGTGATGATGGAGTCAAGAAACAGGGAGCCCAGCCCACCCCATGTAGGCTTCGCCCAGGGTCTCTGCTGGCATCAACGGCGTCCTTGTGTGAATCAGATGATGCTCTTTTGTGCAGACAAGTTAGAACAAGACGCTCTTTGCTTCGGATGGACGCAGACCTGTGCCAGGCGTGTGGCTTGGTGGCCTGAGTGGGCTGGACTCCAGCTGTTCCTCCCAGTTGTCCTAACTGGACCCACCTGTGCAGGGCACAACCTGCAAAATGGTCTGTGGTGTCCTTCCTACGTCCCGTCCCCCTTGCCGGGTCACACTACGACACTGTTTATTTTTGTCGTAACACGTATCCCAAGTTGTTACTGCGTTGATTTTCTTTTTTTGTTTGCTGGCTATTCCCCACACCTTCCCAACAGGCCAGTGAGAGCAGGGACCTTGTCAATCCTTTCCAATGTGGTATCCCAAGTTGCTGGCACTGGTCTGGCTTGGAGTCGATTCTCAGTGGGTATTGAATGAATGAGTGACTGGGCACTTATGTGCCGGACACCGTGTTCACCTCTTTATTTGAATTCTCGGTTACCCTCAGACACCCGATGAGCAGACACTGTTTCTACATGGGTGCTCTCCCATACACAGGTGAAACTGAGGTTCGGAGAAGTGACAGGCACCCAGCTAGGGAGTGGCCAGGGGTGGTGGTAATGGATGGTGATGAAATAGTGCTGAGGTAGTGGGGATGGGCACCCCATGAGAGGCAAGGCAGAGAGAGAGAGGCCTCAGGGGTGACGAGGAGAGTGGGAGATGGCGCTGGGCGGATGTGCTGCCCGTGGTGATGGCGGTGGCGGAGTAAGATCAGTGGAGGTTGGGTAAGTTCAGGCTGGCAAATTTGTGGCCATCACAGTAAAAATGTTCCCGCAGGTAATTGAATCATAGGGAGCCCACATCCTGCACAGCCTCCTCGGCTGTGACCACAGCGCCTGCACCGAGGGTGGTCTACCCCGGCAGGGGAGGGCACCAGGGGGTGGTTGCCGTAGAGACTGCAGGGCACCTCCATCCTCCTCCCTTGGGGTTCTAGGCAAATGGGTGTGAGCAGCCACGGGCATCCCTTTCTTCCAGACACATAGGGCTAGTCCCCCCCGGGTCCCAAACCTTCACCATCCAAGACAGTCTGTTCTTGGAGATTCAGGTGGAATTCAGCAGAAGGAAATCCCACTGGCGGTGGGAGCCACAGCCCCTCTTCTCCTGCAGCCTCTCCAGGGTTGACAGCCTGGGATGGGTCAGGGTTGCGAGGTTCTCAGGTTCTGGTCCAATCCTTCTATTTCACAAATGGGACCCTTGGCTACCTGTCTGTCTGTGTGTCTCTGAAGGTGTAGCCCAGTGAACACTCCCATTTATGGAGGGAAAATCTAGGAGCCAGATCCTTGGGATAGTTGAGCTGGAAGCTTTTTCAGGGTCAGCCCAGCAAGGTTCATAAACTTGCCCAGAGTCACACAGCAATTTACGGACAGAGCTGGGACTGGACCTTAGGTCGGAGGACGCCCAGTTCAAAGTGTGCTCTAGTTTGTCCCAGCTGCTGCCCGCTGAGAGTGACGTGGGGCTGGGGAACGGGGAGAGACTGGAATGAGAACTGACCCTAAGGTGTGGGGAGCAGGAAGGACCCAGGGAGCAGGGGAGATCCCAGCTGACCTTTGCAGGTGACAGAGACAGTGGACTCTGTACCTCATTTATTGGGTCCCGCAGGGATGATTGAGGTGACTTCTAGGGAAAAGAAATTCTATCAGCCCCTCAGGAGCGCTTCCTGTCTCAGGCTCTGCTCTAAGTCCCTGACATAGATGAACGCATTTGTTTGTTTCCAAGCCCAGAAGGTATCCTTTTTATTGCTCCCACTTTGCAGAAGAGGAAACGGCTTCAGAGAGGTTAAGCCAAAGGTCCAAGGCCTCACAGCAAGAGGCAGAGCTAAGGCCTGAACCCACATGTGTCTGATTCCAGAGCAGAGCTCTCAGCCACTGACTCCTAAACTGTCACCTTTTGGGAGATGTATTGCCTCCATATTACAGAGTTGGAAATCAAGGCTGGTGACATGGTAGAATCTTTCTCAGGTCCAGGAAAAAGTTTGGCCCGGATTCTGATGCTAGCTCCGCTTCCCTTCACTCTGACCCCACCAGCTGCTTGAGGAGATCTGGAAGGTCAACTTCACTCTCCTGGACCACCAAATCTCCTTCGACCCACAAGGGGACGTGGCCCTGCACTTGGAGATTGTCCAGTGGCAATGGGACCTGAGCCAGAATTTCTTCCAGAGCGTCGCCTCCTACAGCCCCCTGCAGGGACACCTGAAGGACATCCAAGACATCTCCTGGCACACGGTCAACAACACGGTCAGCCAGGGGGCCTGGTGGGTGGGCAGGCCTGGGGCTCATGCTGGAGTGGCTGGGGCCTTTTTCATTATGGACTGAGCCTGGAGATTCTTTATCAATCGCTGCGGGGATCTCTATTTGTGGGTGTGTAGTCTGGGGTCCAGTCCTTCCCCCATGGATTGGGAACTATGCATGTTCAGGGGTTTCTAGTTTCCCAGGAAGAGGGGTTGAGGGGCCTCAGCAAGGTAAACACTCACCGAACATGTGTGCGCCTGGTCTGGTGCTAAGAATTTCAATTCTCATCCCAACCCTGGGACTGTGGTTTTTGGCACCAGGGACTAGTTTAGTGGAAGACAATTTTTCCACTACTAGGGGAAGGATAGTTTCTGGATGACTCAAGCGCATTACACTGTGCATTTTATTTCTATTGTTATTAGATTGTAATATATAATGAAATAATTATACAACTCACCATAATGTAGTATCAGTGGGAGCGCTAAGCTTGTTTTCCTGCAACTGGCTGATCCCATTTGGGGGTGATGGAAGACATTGACAGATCATCAGGCATTAGATTCTCTCTCTTTCTTGAGACAGTCTTACTCTGTCACCCAGGCTGGAATGCAGTGGTGCAATCTTGGCTCACTGCAACCTCTACAACCAGGGCTCAAGTGATTCTTCTGCTTCAGCCTCCCAAGCAGCTGGGATTACAGGAGTGCACCACCACACCTGACTAATTTTTGTGTTTTTAGTAGGGAACAGGCTTTCACCATGTTGTTCAGGTTGGTCTGGAACTCCTGACCTCAAGTGATCTGCCCACCTCAGCCTCCCAAAGTTCTGGGATTACAAGCATAAGCCACAGTGCCTGGCTGAGACAAGTCAATCTTTCAATCTGGTTTCTATTACTCTGTCTTTGTTCTCTGGTTTGCATTAACATGAGACATAGATCTTCTTGCTTTGTGCCGACTCTCGAGGATCCATGCATATACCTTTCCCCAAGCACCCTTGTCTCCATTCTTCCACTCTTGCTCTTTCCAGCCAAGCCATTCCATATTGTCCAGGAGCTTAGGAATATCCATCCTTCAGGACATCTCTCTATCCATACAAAGCAAACAACCAAGTGCCCTGCTTGCATCTCTACATACAAACAGTATCTTTCATCATTACTGTCCTTCAAGATTAGCACTGAAAAAAAGCTTAGTATGGCAGCAGTCCACGGTCAACTCACATTAATATATCAAGCCAGCCTACTTGGGAATCACTCCTGAATGTTCTTCTCTAATTATTTGTCATAAAGAATCTCTCTATGAGGTCTTAGGTGTGATTTGAGGGAGAGGCATTTGTTATAACATAAATAGATAACAGGTATCACAATAATTGATTTATGAAATCTACTTGGACCCACTGGCACTTCTTGGATACCATTTCCCTTATATAAAGATTTGCTTTCATTCCTGCCTTTTTATAAGACTCTGTAAATCTGATAGTCACCTGATGTCCTGGCATCAGATACTCAATTTCCATGCTGGCCCAGGAGGACTCCAAGAGTTGATTTTTAAATAGAGAGTAGCATGTTGTTGTAGAAGACATGGCATTGTTGCATCCCTCTCTTTGGGCTTGCCAATTCTTATAAGCATAGATAACTCAAAGGTCATCAGATGTCCTTGATCATGTGGCCCCAGTGGCAGGATCACTTACACGGAAGCCAGGACCTCCTTCAGAGCCGTTCTCTGGGCCTGTTACTCTCTGCTCTGAAACTGAAAGCCTTCTGAATCACCTGATAAATGGGTTGGAGCAGTATTTCCAGGAGCAATTTATGTTGTCCCCCAAATCTAAAGAGGTTCACAAGGTGCTGTACTTTCATGGCAGCAGGTGTAGGGTGGATGACTTGTCTATTATGTTAGAATGGTTGTCCTGGCATTATCTGTGCCATTGGCCTCCTAAAAGCATCACCAATGTGAGAGCAACCCCCACCCTGAGTTTTGAATCTTTGTAAGGTTTATCTCTAACCGTCTGGCCTGCATAGGTCTTACTTGGATATAAAAGTACTTGCTACTTCCTACTAACCAGGTCCAATTACCATGGTATCATTAATATCATAGACCCGCTTAATGTTCTGCAGAATGCCAAGATGAACAAGTTTCACATGGACCACATTGAGATCAAGAGTGAAAGAGCAAGCTCTGTGATAAGATAGTGAACATTAGTGATTTGATAAGATAGTGTTAGTGATGTGACATCTTTCTTCTTTTTTAATACATATGTTTATAATTATAAATTTTCCTCTTAAGTATTGTTTTCACTGTACCCCATTAATTTTGGTATGTTTTAAAATTTTTAAATATTTGTTATAAAGACATATAACATTTACCAACTTACCTATTTTTAAGCATACAATTCAGTAATGCGAAGTGCATTCACATTTTTGTGCAACAGATCTCTAGAACTTTTTCGTTTTGCAGAATTCTAACTCTATTCCCATTGAACAACTCCTCATTTCTCCCTTCCTTCAGCCTCTGGAAACCATCCTTCTACTTTCTGTTTCTGTGAGTTTGACTACTTTAGATACCTTATATAAGTAGAATCATATAGTATTTGTCTTTTTCTGGGGTTATGCTGTGTTTTTATTTTCATTAATCTGAAAGTATTTTCTAATTTCCCTTGTGAATACTACTCTGATTTATTGTTATTTAAGGTTATGTTGTTTAATTTCCACATATCTATGAATTCCACAAATTTCCTTCTGTTATTGATTTCTATTTCATTACATTGTTGTTAGAGAACATACCTGTTATCATTTCAGTCCTTTTAAGTTTATTAAAACTTGTTCTATGGCCTAACATATGGTCTGTCCTGGAGAACGTTTCACGTGCAGTTGAGAAAAATGTGTATTCTATTGTTGTTGAGTAGTGTTCTACAGATGTCTGTTAGGTTTAGTTGGTGATATGGTTTAGCTGTGTCCCCACCCAAATCTCATCTTGAATTGTAGCTCCCATAATCCCCATGTGTTGTGGGAGGAATCCAGTGGGAGGTAATTGAATTATGGGGGCAGGTTTTTCCCATTTTGTTCTTGTAATAGTGAATAAGTCTCATGACATCTGATGATTTTATAAAGGCCAGGTTCCCCTGCACACGCTCTCTTTGCCTGTTGCCATGTAAGATGTACCTTTGCTCCTCCTTCACCTTCCACCATGATTGCGAGGCCTCCCCAGCCATGTGGAACTGTGAGTCTATGAAGTCCCTTTTTCTTTATAAATTACCCAGTCCCAGGTATTTCTTCACAGCAGTGTGAAAATGGACGAATACAATTGGTTTATAGTGTTGTTCAAGTTCAAGCTGTCTATTTCTTTGTTGATCTTCTGTTTAACTCTGTGCATTATTGATAGTGAAGTACAGAAGTTTCCACCTATTGTTAAAGATTACATGTTAAATTACCTATTTTGTTATTTGATTCTGATGCTTTTTGCTTAATATATTTTAGGCTGTTTTGTTAGGGGAATATACATTTATTTTTATGGTATCTTCTTAATGAATTGACCTTTTATCATTCCAAAATGTCCTTCTTTTCTTCTAGTAACCATTTTTGTTGGTATTTTTCCCTTTCTTATTTCATTCTTTGTTTTTGTTATTTGCTTCATTCTTTCATGCATGTTTGTTATTTGGAGCAAGAATATGATATGCCTAGGTATAGTTTATCCTGCTTAGTGTTCTTGCAGCTTTCTGGAACTGTGGATTGGTGTCTGTCTGTAATTTTGGAAAATATTGAGCCATTATTACTTCAAATATTTCCACTGTTCTTTTTTCTTTTTCTACTTCTTCTGATAGTCTCATTATGTGTATGTTACACCTTTGAAATTGTCTATAGTCCTTGGATTTTTAAAAAACCTTTCTTTCTTTCTTTCCTTCTTCCTTCCTTCCTTTCTTCTTTCTTTCCCTTTCTCTCCTTCCTTCCCTCCTTCCTTCCTTCCTTCTTCCTCTCTCCCTTCCTCCTCCCTCCCTCCTTCCTTCTTTTTTGAGACAGAGTTTCCCTCGCTTGCCCATGCTGGAGTGCAGTAGTGTGATCTCGGCTCACTGCAACCTCCACCTCCTGGGTTCAAGGAATTCTTGTGCCTCAGCCTCCCAAGTAGCTGGGATTACAGGCATGTGTCACCATGCCCAACTAATTTTTTTATTTTTAGTGGAGGTGGGGTTTTGCCATGTTGGCTAGGCTGGTCTCAAACTCCTGGCCTCAAGTGATCCACCCACTCTGGCCTCCCAAAGTGCTGGGATTGCAGGCATGAGCCACAGTACCTGGTCTTTTACTGTTGTTGTTTTTTCTTTGCTTTATAGTTGGGGAAGTTCCTACTGACATATCATCAAGCTCACTATTCTTTTCTCAGTTGTATCCAGCCTATGTGATCACATCAAAGGCATTCTCCATTTCTGTTGTTTGCTTGTTTTTTATTTCTAGCATTTCCTTTGTATTCTTTCTTAGAATTTCAATTTGTCTGATTACAGTTTTTACCTTTTTCTTGCATGTTGTTCACTTTTTCAGTTAGAGCTCTTAGAAAATTAATCAGTTATTTAAAATTTCCCACTGGATAATTCCAACGTATCTGCCATATCTGAACTGGTTCTGATGCTTATTTTGTCTCTTCAGACTATGTTTTTTTGCCTTTTAGCATGGCTTGTAACTTTTTGCTGAAAGCCAGACATGACATATTGGGTAAAATAAATTGAGGTAAATAAATTTTTAGTATGAGATTTTATGTTTATTTGGGTAGGAGTTAAACTATGTTTACTATTTGTTATAAATAAACAGCAACGGTGTCAAAGGCCAACATTTTCTCTAGTGTCCTTTTTTGTTTCCCATTTCGGCTTTGGGTTTCCCTAGATATTCCTTCTTAAATACAGTCTGAGCCTTGCAGTTCTTTCAGCTGCATCCCTTGATTGACGTGGTGTTAAGGTAGAGGGGAAGTGTTGTGTCATCCTGTGATTGGGTCTCAATCTTTCAGTGAGCCTGTGCCCCAGAACTGTGACCTTCATAAGTGCTTCTCACCCCACCTCCTTAGGTAAGACAAGGAGGCTAGAGGGGGCTGAGTTGGGAATTTCTCTTTTTCCATGTCAGTTAAGTTCTGGTAAAATTCACATCAGTTGGGTTCTGGTAAGATAGTTTCCCTTGAGGAAAGGCATTTGTTAAGGAGGACAGAATGCTCTGAGCATATTTCAGAATGGCTCCTTTCCTTATCCCCCTGCTAGAAGCATGAGGTTTTAATTTTTTCTACAATTCTCCCCCCACCCCCCAAAACCTATGGGGCTCCTGGAGGTTAAACTTATGGCAATATTAGGGGCACCCCTAAGGCCGTGCCCCAGAAATGTTTGTCTCTAAGCTAGTCCACACTTAGTCTCCAGCAGTTAGTCATTTACTCTTTCAGTTTTCTTACCATTTGTTATCTTCAGTGGCCTTTTCTACTCCTAGCGCCCTAGATTCATATATTCTGAACACTTTCTGTATCCACCTCACCCTCTAGTTTTGGGGGCTGCAGTTTGCCCTGTGATCCTGATTCCATGATGGATCTAAGAAGAATTGTTAATTTTCAGTTTGTTCAGCTTTTTGGTTGTTTTGAGGATGGGAATGATGATTTCCAAGCTCCTTGCGTGCTAGACTGGAAACCGGCAGTCCCCCGATCTCTCTGCACCCCCTCCAAGGAGGCTTTTGTCCACAATACTATTCTGAAATTGCTTCTGTCAAGGTCACCAGTGTCTGTGTGTTGCCAATCCAGTAGTTTCCATGATGGCTACCCTATAAATAACATTTGACACAACTGATCACTTCTCTTTGGACACAATATCTTTACCTGGACTCTGAGCCATTCTTTCTCTTGGGTTTCCCACATCCATGACCACTCCTAAAGCTCCTCTTCTGTTTCACCCTCATCTCCCTATCTTCAGCCTTGGAGGATGCCAGAGTTCAGACATTAGATTTATTCTCTTCTCTGTCTACTTGACAGGAAATATTATCCACATATTTATAATTCTCAGTTCTGTATCTTCATACTGGACTTCTCCCCTGAAATTCAATTTACATATTCATTTGCCTACTCAAACCTGCTTCCCCAACGTCCTCCCATGTCAACAGAAGGCAACACCCTTGTTTAAACTAAAAACACTGGCATCATCCTTGACTCCTTCCTTTGTCATCCAATCCAGCAGGAAATCCCATCCAGTCCACCTCCAGGTTACATCCAGAATCTGACTGCTTCTCACCTCCGTTGCTCTCTCTTTAGTCAGAGCCGTGGCCATGTCTCACCTGGGGAAATAAATAAATAACATCTTACCTCATCTCTTGCTTCTGCCTTTGTATCTTGCAGTCTACACTCAACACAGAAAATAAGGCAACGCTGTTAAAATGAAGTCAGGCCCTTTCACTCCTCTGCCTGGAATCCTCCAGTAGCTTCTCACGTCACTCTGAGCAAACACCAGAGTATTTTGACTCTGCCTCCTTGAGCTGACCTGCCCCTCTCCCTTTTGCCCATCCCAAACCCCACTGGCCTGGTTCTTCCTCAACTATACCAGGTTTCTTACACAGGCTGTTCGCTCTGCCTTGAGAGATATCTTTGTGATGTACGCCCTTCCAGCCTTAGGTCTCTCCTCCACCATCACGGCTCAGCAAGGCCTTTCTTTCTTGCCCACCCCATTTGAAAGTGTGATCCACTCCCACAGCATTCTCCTTCTCCACCCTTTCTGTACTGCTTCATTTTTCTCAGCAGTATTTCTCACCATTCATCCCATCATATATTCATATGTTTGTCATCATCTCCTTCCCCATGAAAGTACGAATTCCTTTAGAACGCAACTCTGCCTCCTTTGGTTCGCGGCTGTGTTCCTAGTGCCTGGCACTATATGTGCCCAATAACTTTTTGAATGAATGAACAGCAGGATGAGATTCCAGGGACATGAGGAAGGATTAATTTGATGATTCAGGGAAAGGTGGCAGACAGGATATCTGGCAAGGAAGTGGTGGAAAGCAGGTCTGGATAAGGGGTGTGTGTGTGTGTGTGTGTGTGTTATGTGTGTTGGTGTGCACCTCCCTGCACGTGTGTAATCACACACACGGCAGAGAAGACCAGGGTCTAGAAAGTCTGGCAGAGGATAAGATGTTTTATTCTGGTTGATGGAAAGTCACGGGGGTTCTGGAAACGCCCCCGATGGATGCACACAAGAGGGACTACGGGAAGGAACCTGAAAGCAGAGGACCTTAGAGGCGCCAGAGAGAGGGCTTAGGCACTGCCCTCGTCTGGGCCCTTGGCCCTTCTTATGTGTGCTCATGCCACACTCACCTAATGGGTCCTCAGAATGATTTTTATACAACCCAAAACTTACAAGGCCACTTGCCAGCTGGAGAGCCGTGGTGCCCTCCCACTGCCCCGGTGTTGTTAGTGTGCCATGGAGGGGCCTTCGGAATGTGGCTTTCCCGCCACCTCCCCATGCCTCCTGACTCCAGCCGGGCCCAGATCCTCCATCTTTCCAATCGTGCCATCCTCCTCCACCCCCTTCCCATTGCTTCGATTGTTTCCTCTCCATGTAATTCATTCATTTGTTTAATACGCCATGATTGCAGGCCTCCTTTGTGCTGGGTACTCTTCTATGTTCTGGAAATAAAGAAGTAAAACAATAGACAGGATTGCTGCCTGCCTGCTCTTGTTCACCCGAACGAGAAAGGTCTCTGCCCTTCCAGAAAGCCTGCGTGAATTAAGAGTCTTGGTTGCAAGTGACAGAAAATGATGTAAGCAATTATCAGGAAGAGTACTGATCAGGGTCGGCGCAGTGGCTCACGCCTGTAATCCCAGCACTTTGGGAGGCTGAGGTGGGTGGATCACCTGAGGTCAGGACTTTGAGACCAGCCTGGTCAACACAGCGAAATCCTGTCTCTACTAAAAATACAACAACAACAAATTAGCCGAGCGTGATGGCATGCACCTATCATCCCAACCATTTGGGAGGCTGAGGTAGCAGAATGGCTTGAACCTGGGAGGTGGAGCCGAGAACGGCTTGAACCTGCAGTGAACCGAGATTGTGCCACTGCACTCCAACTAAGTGACGAAGCAAGACTCCATCTCAACAAACCAACCAACCAATGAGGACTGATCAGTAGGAGTTCATTTATTGCTTCATGTAACTGAAAACTCTGGGGACAGACAGTGAGGCTTCAGGCACAGATGGATTCAGGGTCTCACTCTCTCCATCTCTCGGAGCCTTCCTTGGCCATGTTGTCTCCTTCATGACAAGATGGCTGCAGCAGCCCCAGGGTGGCATCTAGCCTCCCAGCAACCTCAGAAAATCTTTGACTCAACAGTTGGGTACTATTACCAGAGGAAGGTGGATTAAGTCTTGGGCAGGCAAAACTCAGAGTCTCTACAAAGGTCTGGTTCTCGTGGCCTGTCCAGCCCCTTTCCCCCTCCCAGGCAGGGACTAGGCTTTCTCCCCTGAACATGCTGCTGGTTACGGAGGGGAGGAGGATCCCAGAATGTGGGAAAGGAGGACTCAGGGTCTCCTGCCCTCCCCCCTCTAGATCCCTGTGTCCATGTGTTCCAAGAGGTGCCAGTCAGGGCAGAAGAAGAAGCCCGTGGGCATCCACACCTGCTGTTTCGAGTGCATTGACTGCCCTCCAGGGACCTTCCTCAATCAGACTGCAAGTATGATTGGAGGCTTAGCACTCCTGCCCCGCCCCTGCCCCGCCCCTGGAGTCTCTAGGGCTCCTTCCCTTTGGCAGAGTCTCTGGAGTCTCTCTCAGGGGGATGTGAGTGTCCAAAGACCATATCTGATTCCTCTTACATCCTCCCAAAACCTTGCATAGAGCGAAATCCTCCATACAGGCTGCTTCAGAGAGAAAAGAAGGGACAACATTCCCCCAAGCAAGGCTGCAGCTCGGTCCACTCCACACACACGCAGCCCAGGGCCCAGGGAGCATCCACTGGATGATGAATGAATGAATGGATGAATGGTGCTTGCCATAGGAGGAAAGTTTCTGGCAGACAGGGACGACCCTAACTCATGTATCCCTCTGGCTTCCCAAGTGCCTAGCATAGCTCACAGCACAGCACGGTTGCTCAGCGGGTGCCTGTCGAATGACTTCCTTGATGAGAAGAAAGATCATTTCTTCCCATAGAACACTCTAGGAAGGTGCAGACAACGCCGTTTCTGTCCACATTAGTGTTTTGTACAGTTCAGAGCTGGAGCTCAATTTTTTTTGACGTCACTAGTGTAAATTAAATGGATGATGACATTCACCAAATACAAGTATTTACTATGTGCCTAGCAGACCACAGAGCACAGAGGAGGTGGTGAGCCAGCTTGTGGAATGATTTCATTGGCCCTCCTCTCACAGCCAGTCAATAGCTGGGAGGCAAGGGCTGGGTTTTTTCCATCTCTCTGTGGACTGCCACTCCAGGTGCCTAATATAATGGATGGCGCTCAAAAAAACACGGATTGAATGCATTCTTTGAGTAAGTGGTCAAATGCATCTCACACCAGAGGGTGAGAGGTAATACACTCTGAGTCAATAAGACCTGGGTTCAAATCCTGCCTATCTAATTTGCTGGCTTTGTGACTTTGGGCAAATTAGTTCACCTGACTGAGCCTTGGTTTCCTCATCGGTGAAGTGCGGTTGCGTGAGAATTTGATGAGCCAATGCACGTAAGGGACTCAAGGAGCATTTGCTGTGAATGCAAGGGTTGCCCCTGGTGCTCTCTCCCTTGGTGCTCTCTCTCCATCCCTGGGGCCTGGGCCTGTGCAGGGCTGGGAGGATGCAGGTGCTTGGAAGATGGGCTTGGCTAATGGGAGTCGCTGTGGGCTTTTGCAGATGAATATGATTGCCAGGCCTGCCCAAGTAACGAGTGGTCCCACCAGAGTGAGACCTCCTGCTTCAAGCGGCGGCTCTCTTTCCTGGAATGGCACGAGGCAGCCACCATCGCTGTGGCCCTGCTGGCCGCCCTGGGCTTCCTCAGCACCCTGGCCATCCTGGTGATATTCTGGAGGCACTTCGAGACGCCCATGGTTCGCTCAGCTGGAGGCCCCATGTGCTTCCTGATGCTGACGCTGCTGCTGGTGGCGTACATGGTGGTCCCGGTGTACGTGGGGCTGCCCAAGGTCTCCACCTGCCTCTGCCGCCAGGCCCTCTTCCCCGTCTGCTTCACCATCTGCATCTCCTGCATCGCCGTGCGCTCCTTCCAGATCGTCTGCGTCTTCAAGATGGCCAGCCGCTTCCCGCGCGCCTACAGCTACTGGGTCCGCTACCAGGGCTCCTACGTCTCTGTGGCGTTTATCACGGCACTCAAGATGGTCACTGTGGTGATCAGTTTGCTGGCTACGGGCCTCAACCCCACCACCCGCACTGACACCGATGACCCCAAGATCATGATCATCTCCTGTAACCCCAACTACCGCAACAGCCTGCTGTTCAACACCAGCCTGGACCTGCTGCTCTCGGTGGCGGGTTTCAGCTTCGCCTACATGGGCAAGGAGCTGCCCACCAATTACAACGAGGCCAAGTTCATCACCTTCAGCATGACCTTCTATTTCACCTCGTCCGTCTCCCTCTGCACCTTCATGTCTGTCTACGATGGGGTGCTGGTCACCATCGTGGACCTCTTGGTCACCGTGTTCAACCTCCTGGCCATCAGTCTGGGCTACTTCGGCCCCAAGTGCTACATGATCCTCTTCTACCCGGAGCGCAACACGCCAGCCTACTTCAACAGCATGATCCAGGGTTACACCATGAGGCGGGACTAGCGCCGCCCAGGGGCATCCGGGAGGGAGGGCCTCGGTGTTGGGAGGCGGAAGCTGGGGGTCTTGCTGGTTCAACGCCAGAGGGAGGCAGGGAAGCCATCCCCAACTTTTCCCACCTTGCCCTGGTTTCTGATTTAACAGTCCTTGGCGGTTCTCTGCATCGGGGCCATTTCTGCCCACTTAGTGATGGATGCCTTAAAACATCCACTTTGTTCCTTTCCCTTGACCAATTTTAATTGTCAGGCACTGCCACCTTCTTCAAGAAAAAAACCACCCAAGGTGACCTATTGGTCTCCAATGACAGTCTGATTTAGCAGCCTCCAGCCGCCATCTGGCGGTCACAGTGGGCATCTGCGGTTGCAGCTCATTCCCTTCACTCAAGTTCAAGGCTAAGGGAAGCCCTGGTGGGTGCTGGGCTGGGCTGGACCAGGGTTGGTGTGGGCTGGTGGGGCCTGCCGGTCAGCCTGTGAGCTCGGATAGTTCAGCCATGGCTCCATTCGCCAGCTGTCTCACGTGTCCGTTCCCTTTCCTTATTCCTGAAGAGCTTGGGCCCAGATCCTTGGGTTATGTCTCAGGGCTGGCCACGCATAGCATGCTTCCCAGATGCTTGTGAATAAACCCCCCTTGGGTGAAATGAATGCGCTTCCTTCCTGTTTTCAGAAGTCCCTTGAGAAAGAACATGTGGAATCAGACCTCAGTTTCAATCCCAGTAATGCCACTTCCAGGCTGTGTGACTTTAGGCTGTCACGTTGACGTTGATGTGGACAACAGCTTACATTTATTGCCAAGTCCCTGGCTAAGAACTTTTCTACTGTATCCACGTATCCCTCACAAAACTCTATTGGTTGTGTGCAATTATGCTCCTTATTTTACAGATGGTGGGCCGAGGGCAGGGGGAAGAAGAACTCAAAGAAGTTATAGAGCTTACCCAGAGTCACAAACCTTGTCTGAGCACCCCCTTCCTCTCCCCAGAGCCCACTCCCGGAGCCACTGTCCTTTACGGGGTAATATCCAGGTGGCCTGGCCTGGGAAGCTGTCCCCACTGTGGTGCACAGGGGGAAGGCTCGGCCTCCTCAGACAAGGAGTTGTGCTATGGCAGGGGATTCAGATGTTAGGGAGGTGGCTGGTGGCTGCAGTGACCAGGAAAGCCTTTGGGAGAAGCTAGCATTTCGAAAGAGCCTTGAAGGACACAGAAGTGTTGGAAGGCTGGAAGTTTCGATGTGTGGGGGAGGGGCCGGTGGGGCCAGGCGGGATGGAAAGAAGCCCAGGCAGTTCCAGGAGGAGCATGTGGCTGAGAGTGGCCAGGCTGTGAGAACTCAGCTTCAAAGGCCAGCTAGGGCCGGATGGGGGTGGAGGGGTCTGGCCCTGGGTGTCTGGTGTCTGGCCCTTGTCCTCCTTGGGTGGCTACTCCCAGCATCCTGTGCACATGCTGGTTTATCCCTCCCCTGGGTCACCTGGGATGCCATCCTGCTCCTGTCTGGCCACTGTGACCAGCCTCCTCTGCAGCTCGGTCCTCTTCCCACAGTTCCCAGTGCTGGCCTGGCCTTGTGGGCTGGAGACTGCTGGGCACAGACCCCAAGGATAGATGATCAAGGTCTTTCTAAAATGTCCTTTCTCTGTCTCCTCCACTCACTTCCCAGGGGAGCCCAGAGCCTTGGCCGAGGCTCACCCCAGTCCCAAGCTTTTGGGGAGCCCCCTGCATGATCTGTCCCTGGGTGTGGCTGTGTCCCGTCCCCCTTGCCCTCGGGACCAGATTGTCAGAGGCTCAGGGAGTTTTAAGCTGTTAATTCTCTTTTCTTGCATGCTTCTGATGCCTTGCTTTAATTTTTTTTTTAAAAGAGATAATCACCTCATTTCTTGGTTCTGTCTCTTGGACCACCATGAGAGAAGAGAATCCTGGAATCCCACCGACCTCAGAGGGCCTCTGCTCCACACCTAGGGCAGCCCTGAGGCTGGGATCTTGAGCTTTTAGCGTTCTCTCCAGTGATGGGAGCCTCACCGAGGACAACTCTAGTTATCAGAAACTTCTTCTTAGCTCAAATCAAAACCTGACTCCCTGGGATTTCTGTTTACGGACATTAGTTTCATCCTTCGGGATCATGAATTAAATCTAATTTCTAGCCTAAGCATGGTGGCTCACGCCTGTAATCTCAGCAGTTTGGGAAGCCAATGTAGGAAGATTGCTTGAGGCCAGGAGTTTGAGATCAGCCTGGGCAATGTAGCAAGACCCCATCTCTACAAAAATAAAAATTAGCTGGGCATGGTGGTGTGTGCCTGTAGTCCCAGTTACTCAAGAAGCTGAGGCAGGAGGACCTCTTGAGTGCAGGAGTTAGAGGCCACAGTGAGCAATGATTGTGCCACTGCATTCCAGCCTGAACGACAGAGCAAGCCCTTGTCTCTCCTTTCCCAGAAAACTGCATTCCTCTTTCTCACGGTGCCTTTTACATACAATAACAAAAAGAATAGCTTTTCAAGGAGCACCTACTGTGTGCCAGGTACTTTTCACACATTATCTGCAGTCCCCACAGTGATCACACCCCATGGGTACCAGTGACGTGGGTGGACATGGGCCAGTGCCTCCCAGACCCCATCCTTCCGCTCTGCCCAGCAGCCCCAGTATGGCTTCAAGGAAGAGGAGTCCTTCTCCCGGCTCCAAGCGGGCAGCAGGCCAAGCCAATCAGCACTGTTCTTCCCAGTCTGCAGTGATTGGCTCAGAAGTGGGCACATGACCTTGGTTGGTCCAATCAGAGAGACTCCTAGAACTTTGGCTGGAACCAAGCTGCTTTCTATAGGAACTTGCAAGGTCCTAGACCCAAGAGCTGGGGGCAGTTCTTGTGGGATCACAAGGCATGTCAGCCTCAGGGAAAGCTGGACCTTACAGAAGGCAAAGAGGAAAGAGTTTCAGCCTTTGAAACTCTTTATGAGCTATTGGATCTCACCTGACGGCAGCCCTGCCTCTGAAACCTTGCATTTCATGAATCAGTTGATATCCCTCATTGCTTAAGATAGCTTGTTTCCCAGGCTGGAGTGCAATGGTGCGATCTCAGCTCATCACAACCTTGAGTCACCACAACCTCGACTCACCACAACCTCCGCCTCCTGGATTCAAGCGATTCTCCTGCCTCAGCTTCCCAAGTAGCTGGGATTATAGGCATGCTGTAACCATGCTGTAATCACTACACCCAGCTGATTTTTTATATTTTCAGTAGAGATGGGGTTTCTCCGTGTTGGTCAGGGTGGTCTCGAACTCCTGACTTCAGGCGATCCTCCTGTCTCAGCCTCCCAAAGTGCTGGGATTACAGGTGTGAACCACTGCACCTGGTTCTTTTTTAATTTATATATCATATATATATATATATATATATATATATATATTTTTTTTTTTTTTTTTTTCTTTTTTTTTGAGATGGAGTCTCACTCTGTTGCCCATACTGGAGCAGTGGTGCGATCTTGGCTCATTGCAACCTCCGCCTCCCAGGTCCAAGCAATTCTTCTGCCTCAGCTTCCCAAGTAGCTGGGATTACAGGCACCTGCCACCATGCCCAGCTAACTTTTTTGTATTTTTAGTAGACACAGGGTTTTATCATGTTGGCCAGGCTGGTTTTGAACTCCTGACCTCAAGTGATCTGCTCACCTCAGCCTCCCAAAATGCCAGGATAACAGGAGTGAACCACCACGCCTGGCCTACAGCATCTTTATTTTAACTTAAACATTCCTTTCTGCTAACTGAAACTTTTTAGACAAAGTTGTCTTCCTTTTACCAATTGTGGATTAAAGAATCTCTGAATCTACCTATGACTTGTAAGCCCCCACTTCAAGATATTCTCCCTTTTTGGGCCACATCAAGTATACCTTCCATGTAGTGACTTATCTCTTTGCTTGTAACCCCAGCATCCCTGAAATGTGTAAAACCAAACTGTAATCCGACCGCCTCGGGGATGCTTTCTCAGGACTCCTTGTTACTGCGTGTTCCCAGGCTGTGGTCATTCATATTGGCTCAGAATAAACCTCTTTAAGATATTTGACAGAGTGTGGTTTTTCTGTTAACACCATCAGCAAAACTATCTGCTCTACCTTCAAAATATACCCTAAACCTAGTTAAGCCCAGATTCCAGGAACAGCCTCCAAATTGCCGTCTCTGGCTTCACCCTTGCTCTCTGAGTTGGGAGTGGACTTTTAAAACTCTGAATTGGTTCATGTTCCTTCTCTACTCTGCACTCCCCAGGGCTCCCCAACTCACTGGCCTGAAGATCCAAAACCCTGAAGTGTGTGTCAGACCCACAGGCTCCCCTCTACCTCTGTGACCTCTCTGTGGCCTCTTCTTGCTTCCCACACCCTTCTGCAGCCACACTGGCCTCGTCACCGTCCCTGAAGATGCCATGATTCTGCCCCAGGGCCTTTCCACGGGCCGTTCTCTCTTCTTGAAATGCTCTTCCCCAGATAGGCACATGGCTTGCTTCCTCATTTATTTTCTCTTCCTGCTTCACTCTTTTCCTTAACACTGTACTGCTTTCAAAAGCATTGTATGGTTCACTTTTTTGTCTTTGTCTCTCCCAATATATGGCAATCTCCATGAAGGCAGCGAGTTTTGCCCATTTGGTTCACAGATGTGTCTCAAGAAGCTGGAAAAGCACTTGGCACAGAAAAGCGCTCAGTAGGTGCTGGTTTTTTTTTTTTTTTTTTTTTTTTCTGAGACAGGGTCTCATTCTATAGCCCAGGCTGGAGAGCAGTGGTGCGATCTTGGCTCACTGCAATCTCTGCCTCCTGGGTTGGAGCAATTCTCCTGCCTCAGCCTCCTGAGTAGCTGGGATTACAGGAGTGTGCCACCATGCCAGGTTAATTTTTGTATTTTTAGTAGAGACAGGGTTTTGCCATGTTGGCCAGGCTGGCCTTGAACTCCTGACCTCAGGTGATCCACCTACCTCGGCCTCCCAGGGTACTGGGATTGCAGGTGTGAGCCATCGCGCCCGGCCAGTAGGTGCTGTGTGAAAGAAAGAAGGAATGAGTGAATGAATGAATGAAACAGAACTTTAATGGATCGTGAGGTTAGAAGCCAGGAGAACTTGCAGCAGGCCAGGAAGTAGGGAAGGTAATGGACAGGGTGAGTCTGTGAGTAAGAGGAGGGTTTTGGAAGCCAATACCTCATTCACTCATTCATTCATTCGTATTCACTCACTCATTCACTTATTCATTCACTTAGCACATGGCTATTGAGCACTACTAAGGGTCAGGCCTTGTGTGGCATTGAGAGTACAGCGCCCAGGAGCACAGTTCCTGTTCCCAAGCAGCTCACATTCTAGGGAGGACTCAGGACACCAGGCAGATGCTCACAACACCATGCGATCGTCTGTGATGGGGTGGCTCACGGTGCTACAGAGACACCCAGAAAGGGCTTCTTGCCTTGGGAGGTGGAGAAAGGCTCCCTGAGCATTCAGGTATCAAGCAGAGGCCTGATAAATGGATCACTGTGAGCCAAGCAAGGGGGGGGCATCGCCAGGGGTGCACCAGACAGAGGAGTGGCTTGGGCAAGGGCCCAGTGCAGGGAGACGCAGAAGGCCAGAAAAACAGAGTCAGGGCTAGTGGAGCTGGAGCTGGAGAGAAAGTGGGTGAGCTGTGGGAGGGGAAGACAGGGAGACAG